ACATAAGGAAGGAGTTACTTATGAAGCTGGCATTTTTAGGGCTACCAGAGGTACAATATAGGTTATGTAAAACTTTAAATGCTGTTTTCTCATTTTGGTGATTTTAGCACTTAGGAAAAACTTTGTGACATCATATTATCTTTGTTATTTGTCAGAGATGCCTGAAATTTTGTATGTTGAAGGCTAGTAATATTATCTAGTGCTTGACATTTTCAAATTTTGATATTTTGCATTGTTGATGAAATATTTACTCTTATGTCAAAATGTGTACCAAAATGCAAAATTACTGAAGAAAATCAAATTTTTGAATATATTTTGTTTATAAAGAATTAATAAAAATTGAAAAGTGTCAAGCACTAGATTATGTTCTAAGCTTTTTAAAAAACTTTACTCATTGAATTTGGATCATTGGTTCCCAAGATATCATGTTCGCAGCGAAGTTCATTTATTGGCTAATTAGGGGCCGCCATGTTGGATAATTAGTGTAATTAGTGATTTTTTAATTTTTTTTTTCCATTAGTTAATTCTCTTCATTAAAGTCTTTCAAATACTGATAGTTTCTTATAACTATCTTTAAAAATGAAAAAAATTCAATTTTTTGTATATGACCACCTTAAGTGTACAGTCAGGTTAGCGGTATTTGTTGTCTTGTTCATACGTGTCGTATTGTCTGTAAAGGAAATGTGTGGGTGTCAATTGTGTATTGTCATCATGAAAGTAATGTTTAAGGTTGTGAATAGATCGTTTTCGTAAAGTGCGGTAGTTGTTGTGATCTGTTCATTGGATTTGTTCTAAGTTGGTATTGTTCTAAGTACCAACTTTCTAACGTAAAGCCCCCTGCACACTGCAGTAACTCTGTAGTCCCCCACTCACTCTATATGTCACACTGTAATTTCCCGGTTACCCTATGCCACTAAAGCGGAACTTGAGATTTTTGTGAATTTTGCAAATGCATGATTGAAGATGCATGAACGACAGTCTACGACGCAGAATAAATTGCTTTTTAAAATATAGAAAATTTCCCTAACATTGCAACGGTCATTGAACAAACTGAAGGTTGTCAACGTTATCAATAAAACGTAAGCACTTGCTGCAATAAATATCATTGAATGAATTCTGTTGAAAAGGTCAAAGTGAGTTTAGTCTTAAAAATTAAAGCACGACGTACTGATCGACACAAACTATTGTAACAACAAATACAATATATAATATAGATGCAAAATTAATAAACTAAAGCAGAATTAGCCCGGAAAATGGCTACGGTTTCTACACAGAATTTCTCTCATTATTGCTATTTATCCTAATTTGAATAAACTTCCCTTCTCTTTTAAAAGCTCTCACTTCGAAGTATTTCCCTTGTTGTCGCTTTTTTACTTTCGTCGTTTGACAATGTAGACTTCAAGCCATATTTAATATTAGCTAATAAACACACTTTACAAGTCGCTACACACATCAATTTTCATGTCTTCAAACACACACAAACGATACAGAATCGATGAAATAACGGGACTAAATAGTGGACTATAAATATCGTCTACTCTTTGTAAAACCTTACTGCAGAGATAGATCTAGGATAATTTTGTAGGAATGGTGCTCTAGTTTTTATAAGATCTCGTTCGGTCAGTTTAGTTTCACGCTTGTCAAAAATGATCGCTAAATTGCAAAAATGCAGTACGCGCGTTCAGCGGTTTTCTCAAGAAATTAGTCATTTAGTGTCATGTAAAGTGTTGTAAAGTAACTCTTGAATATTTGCCTGTAAACTATCATTAAAACAACAACATAACAGGAGCATTAAGTTTTATTTAGATTTTGTTCGTATTTTAAAATTCCCTTTATTTTTCTCTCATTATCGATTTCTTCTCTTTCCCTCGTAATTTGCAAAATTTTCTTGCAAAAGTGAAAATCTCATCTATGGAAAATGCTGTAAATCGTTGCTGTTAACATATTAATATCTATTAAAATGATGGGTTGAAATTTTAAAAGAAATAAAGCATTTTATTTGAATCGAGTATTCATACAAACACAGCTAATTTTACTAATGTTTTTGCTTTTGACAGAGACGCAATAGATTTATACACAAGCTCTACGGATACAAAACATCAAAACGCGATGCCTTATGAAAAGTTACTACTCTCTCTAATTCAATTATGTACGAACAAAGCCCGAGATACTGCAGCAGACAGGCTAGGAAACGGTGACGTTGGTAATGAAGGATTTCGCCAACTTATCATTACGAGATTTACACGAAATCAAAACAATGCTCGATAATCTTTCGAAAATAGATCTTTCCTCCAGTTTAAACTTCTTAGGGGAAGGATTTGATATATTTTGTAAGTACATTGACAAAGTAGAAAGTAATAGAGAATGTGAAGAAGCAAGTAATAATGATGAGTCTCAGGCAACTTGTACTGCCATCACCACCAGGTATGATCTTTCCCGTGCAATAAAACATTCAAAGGTTTTTGAAATGGCAAAAAAACGATTTGAAGTTTCCCGTAAGAAAGCAACAGATGTTTTCAACAACCAAAACTTAAGCTTGGAGGACAGAATTTTTGCCGTTATTGTTAAGACCATGGCACAAATTTTTGAATGTCCGGAGCATCAGGAGATTGTCATTGATTTATGTTTATCTTACATAAAAAGGCTGCATGAATTGGACGGTGTTCGTAAAATGTTCTCTGTTTTTATCGGTGGTGGCATGAGAGCGATGTTCAAAAAATCTCAATGAATGGAAAACATAAAGTCAGTCATTCTTCTGAACCATCATTTATATCAGTTCATTGCAAGGATCAACAACAATCATGATCATTTATCAACTTGGCCAAGTATTGAACTTGGAGACGGAAAAATGTTTAATCCAATACAGGACTGGCGCAAGGAATTCGCTGTCGAGTCTTGGTATAAAAATTTGATTGAATCTTCCCAAGAAATAGAAAAAATGAAAACCATGATGTTTGAACTTTTGGACAAGATGACTATAAATGAACATTTTGCTCCAATATTGACATCACCAGTTGAATTAGTTATGGATTTATTAAGAGGTGATATTTTGGTTGCTGGAGGTTACCCATATGATTCCTCAAAGACTGTTGAAATTTTTTCATGGAAGGAGAAGAAATGGTTTAAGATTGCATCAATGGAAAATCAATACATGGGTGCTTCATCATTCATTTATAAGGATAATTTATTTGTTGTTAGAGGATTGTTCTACAAGTCAATGGAGACATTGAATCTAAAACAGTTTCCTTTGACATGGAGAAAATTTCCCACAGAGTTACCTGATGAATGTTGGGGTCATCAAACTGTTGTTTATAAACAACAAATCCTTTTCATTGGAGGAGGCGATTTTTTTGGAAAATCAGATTTGATCAGTGAAATAAAGATAAAACATCTTAAAACTGGTAAAACATCTTATGTTTTAAAAGAGTTGTGTCATATGCCTGAACCACGTTCGTGCCATGGAGCTGTTGTTGTTGATGATAAAGTTCTGATTTTTGGAGGATGGGGAAAAGATTGCAAAGTTTTGTCCTGTGTTTTGGAATTTGATCCAAGGACTCTTACATTTAAGCAAATGCCTCCATTACCTTATCCATTGACTGAAATGGCAACAGTTCAATGGAGAGATCAAGTTGTTCTTCTTGGAGGTTATGATGGAAAAGAATATTTGAACAGTGTTATGTTGTATGACAGCAATACAGGTAAGATTACAGTCTTACCATCCATGTTGGAAAAGAGACGGGGGTGTTGTGCAGTTATAACTGGTGATACAATTGTTGTCATGGGAGGTTTCAATGTTAAAGATTATAAATATGAAGAACTTAAATCAGTGGAGTGTTTTAAAATGGGAAGTAGTTCTTCATGGACATATCTTCCTTCAATGAATGAATCACGAGATAGAGCCATTGCTGAAGTTTTACCTTTTGGACAAAACTATTTCTAAGACACGAAATTTCATTAAGTTATGGAACGTTATAACTCATCAATGTTCGTTTGGACTACATTGGATGATAAATTTGTAAAATTTAAAATGTATAGTTCAAATATTTATATAATCATTAACTATTTTGATTAATTTCTGAAATAGGTGAATGACATTTGGTATCTAAATAAGTTTGAGTTTTTAGAGGATAGTTTATACCTTTTTTCTTGTCCTTGTTTCATTGCAGTTTATTTAACAATAAAATACAAGTTTTCCATGGTAAAAATTACTTTACATAAAATATTTTTCGTAGTGGCAAAATACTTTATTTCCCAGTTTACCATCCACCACATTTACAAAAATCTACAAATTATCTTACACATTTGAAATGCTGTGAAGACAATCAGTTTGTAATTAACTTCTCATTCGCAAACACAATCACTTCCTGCATTACTGAAGTAATAACATTTAAGCCTGGTTCACACGAGTAAAATAAGCACGAACGTCGAGACTTTTTATTCTATTGCTCTAGAGGTTTATAAAGACAAACACATTGGGATTTTCTTTAAATCTTTTTTTTGTTCTTCTCTTAGCTTATGCTTGAATTATTTAATGAGATTTCATCGCCATTTTAAAAGAAAGCAAAAGAAAAAGTGGATTTTACCCTGAATCCTACCACGTTTGGTAATCTTCAATAAATGTAGGTCCATTTGAGAAGTAGCAGTTGAGTAAGATTTCCAACCTTTTTGTGGATAAAACTTTTAAGATCAAATTTTCATACCTTATGCACTGCTTGTGCTTGTTCAACCATTACGTCTAGTGATTTATCTTTTATGCCATGCTTTCGGTCGGAAGATGAGTAGAAATTTTCCACTAAATAGTAAATATTCTATTTGGAGATGAGATAAATATTATTTCACAAACAATTTGCAATATTATGTTTTATTCGTTCATTTTCACGCTTTTATTCGGTGGTTCGTAATCGTAATACTGCAAAATCTCAAGATTTGTCTTGTAACCTAGCAACTGCCTTTTCTCGCACATTTCAATACATACTCACGTGATTTCTCCACGTATTCCGCCTATCTTCAGAGGACGGAACCATTGAGTTCAATAATAACTGGAGCGGCTATCTCTCAAAAGTTGATTCAAGTTTGTTTTTGCGTTTGAATTTCGTATCAGAGTAATCATGTAGACGCATTTACATGAATTTTGAAAATTTTTGGCCAGAAGAATCATCGCAAAGGTAAGAAATAAGAATAAGCCATGTTATTTTAGATATATTTGTAAAACTTGTTGTTTATGGTAACATTTCATCAACAGTTTCAAACTATTCATAGCATGTCTGAGATTCAATTAGTGGCAAGCACAATCGTGCCGAATCAATTAAATTTTCCAGTTCATTTTACCTTGAATTAAAGTATTTATCATTCACACATTACTATATTTTGAAGCCCTCATTTTAATTGCACAGTTTGCACTGATACCATAACAATGATTTTGTTGCATGTCAAATAATATTGATAATAATTTTATCTGCATGTAAAATGTGTTGACAAGGTTATGGTAAAGTCAACATTAAGGCAACTTGCATGAAAAAAATCGACCACATTGATCACAACCCAGCCAATCCTCATTGTCATCCTCTCTGCATATTTTGCAAACAGCCACATTTTGCTTCCTAAGATATTCATAATGAATTCCATATAAAAATATTCAACCAAATGTTATTTATGCCTTTCCGTGTGATATCATCATAGCAAGACCCAAGTAATGTTGAAAGGATTTGTTTTCTCTCAGTCTCCATGTTTGCTGGTTTTTGATCAAAGCCAAGGGCTAGACATCGAGCAAACTGCTGCAAAATGAGCAGTTATTGAATAATCATGTTTGTAAAAATAGCTATTCAAGTAAAGTTAGGCTATTTTAAGCTTACCAAGCATAGGTACACTTCACAGTTATACATATCTTTATGTTTACAATGGAGTGGCTCAAAACATTGCCATGAGCTTGAGTTCTAACCTGTTTTTACATCTACCAAAGCACTAAAGCAGTGACAAACAATGACTACATGAATGATAATATTGATTGTTGAAAATGATTTTTGGGCAAATCTTTTAAGATCAAGTTTGAGAATTACCTTAGTTTGTTTATATGATACATCATCTGTGTATTAGGTGTCTTTTTGTCTGCACTTCCTCCAAGTGGGTCAAAGTAGAGTCTTGTTTTTGAGAACTTATCTATAGCCTATATTACACAAAATTACTGTTGCATTTAGTTAAATATTTTCTCTTTGTTACTTAAGGAATTATATGAGTTAATGTTTCTATAGATACTAATTTTTGCATGTAAATCTGTGGACTCATGTGGGCTAAGTATGTGTATAATGCATGTCTATATTTTATTATTTAGCTCAAATACTTACCAGTAGTGTCCAATGAATGCCATGGATGTTGATTGGAAAAAGGATTGCAATGAATCACTAACCTTTCTTGTTGTTCCAAGTTGTTGATTGGCGGTACTTCAGTTCTTTCTTGTGATGCCTGGATTTCCTCTGTTTCACTCTCATACAACAATTCTTGCTCAACTGGCTCTTCAAGTGCATTCTGGGACGTAAATTGTGAGTGAAAATTATAATTTGTAAAAAAGAGCTCCTCAGTCGAGGTTGCCAAAATGAAAATTGCATTTTTCTCCACGAATCACAGCTACACTTTGGAATACTGAGATTGATTTCATACCATTTAGTTTTGTCTGATGAGCTCCTAACGCAGAAATCACCGTTACTATTGTCGATGCAATCAACATCAGGATCATGAATATCGCGAGGTGCGAATGAACTTTTCATACACTGCTTGAGAAAGTGGGGAGGGTCATCATGTGTCTATATGTGACAAAGGAAAAAAAACGAAGATAAGGCTGAAAAACAGAGTGGTAGCGCAAGGAAAATAGAGCAGGTAAATGTAAGTAACGTGCATGTGAGTACAAACACTAGGGTAGCCTTGCAGACTGCGCAAGGAATTCTCGTAGGTCAGAATAGGAAGAGAGTGCGAGTGATTTTTGACTTGGGAAGTCAGAAGTCTTTCGTCACAAATAGGGCAAAACAAGATGCGAAGCTTAATGTAGCAAGGCGGGAATCGTTAGAGGTCAACACTTTTGGTGGTGTAACAAATGATGGTAAGATGACAGAGCTCCTCAATTGCGAGGTCGCATCAGTTAGGAAAATTGCAAAATTCGTTTAGAGGCATTAGTAGTTCCCTGTATTTGTACGGTAAAAATTGAGATTATTGAGGTGGCTAAGGAGCAGTATTCTCCTTTGAAAAATTTGTTTTTGTCAGATGTAAGTTTGAAGCAGGACATGTTGAAAGTGGAGATTTTGATAGGAGCAGATAACCTTTGGGCTTTCAAGAAAGTATAAATAATTAGGGGCAAAAAGGATGAGCCAGTTGTGATTGACACTTGTTTAGGATGGGTTGTAAGCTGTCCACTGAAAGGGAGCTCGAAAATCAAAAATGCACATGTTAATTTAGTTTCGCAGACTGCAGCGTAGAAAAGCAACATAAACAGGCAGGTGAACAAGTTGTGGGATTTAGAAACACTTGGGGTCGGGGAAACTGACGATGTGCACGAAGCCTTGTTAGATAAAATTGAGTTTAATGGGCATAAGTACTCTGTTAAATAGCCGTGGAAGCAGGTCATGGGCATTTACCAGGTAACTATGCCAATAGTTTAGCACGCACGAAAGGGCAAATTAAGCGCTTGTCAATTGAGCCTGATTTGTTAAAAGATTATGATAAAATTATCGGGATTAACTAAAACGGGAGTCATTGAAAGGGTTGACGAGTCAGGGTCGTGGATGAATGTTCATTATCTTCCCCATCAAGCGGTTATACGTAAAGAAGCCAAAACAACTAAGCTAAGAATAGTGTATGATGCATCATCAAAGGAGGGTAAGAAAGTGACTTCTTTGAATGACTGTGTTCATGTACGACCATCATTAACACCGTTGTTGTTTGATGTATTAATTAGATTTAGGGAGAACATTGTGGCCTTTGTAGGAGACATAGAGAAAGCACTTTTGAACGTAAAAGTAGACAAAGCAGACATGGACTATTTAAGATTTCTGTGGGTTAGAGATGCTACTAATGCTAGTTTAGAGGTTGTTGTTTACAGGTTTTGCAGAGTAGTGTTTGGATTAAATGCCTCGCCATTTTTACTCAACGCCACGCTTAGGCATGACATAGCGCAATTTGCAGAATCACATCCAGTGCTTGCTCAAGAATCGAATGAAGGATTTTACGTTGATGACTTAATTTCGGAGGGCAAAAGCGCACACGAAACGATCAATTTATATGAAAAGGCGAAATTTAGAATGTCTCAAGGCGGGCTTAAATTAAGGAAATGGATGACAAATGACGCAAACGTGCGAGCGCTTATAGAACAGCGTGAATGCGAGAACAATGTCGTGCAGGCGACAGATCCAGACGATGAAACATTCACACAATGGAGTTTGGGAATCCAAAATGACGATGATTACACAAAAGTTTTAGGTATAGGCTGGGATTGCGACAATAATCTGTTCATGTTCGACCTACAAATGTTTGTAGTAGACTTGGGTGACAAGAAGCTAACTAAACGAAACCTGCTGAGTGCACTAGCAAAGATATTTGATCCGCTAGGATTAATTAGCTGCGTAATAGTTTTGATGAAAATCTTGTTTCAACAGTTGTGCGTAGAAATGATTGACTGGGATGACGAGATAAGCGGAAAGCACGCCAGTCTATACACTGAATTGATTGAAGATCTAAACCGTGTTAAGACTATTAAGCTAAATAGATGCATCTATAGTGGTGTGAAGTGCAAAATTCAATCTTTGAACTTCACGGGTTTGGTGATGCAAGCGAGAAAGCGCATTGCGCGCTAGTATATTTTGTTTGTCGCAAGAGTGTTGGAGTCTTTGTGAAAATGTTAACAGCAAAAACTAGAGTTGCGCCGCTGAAGAAGCTTACTATACCGCGCTTAGAACTAATGTCCGCGCTGATGTTAGCAAAGTTAATGGAATCTGTGCGGAAAGCTTTAGTAGGCCAAGTAGGGAAAATAGAAGCAAAGTACTGGTTAGATAGTATTACAGCATTATATTGGATTCAGAATCGCGGTGAGTGGAAACAGTTTGTTAGACATAGAGTAAATGAAATCTTAGCAAAAACACAGAAGGAGAAGTGGGGACATTGTCCAGGAATGGAAACTGCCGCTGATTTTGAAGAACCAACGCTTGGAACGTAAAATCGTGCACAACACTGTAAATATCTTATTAAATTGTTAAAATATTATATTCAAAATACAGTCCCATCGTTAGTGTGAAGTTTGAGAACAGTGAATCTGCACTTTGCACAGATTGTACGAAAACTAATATTTAATCTGGAAAGTTAATTCAAAGATGACAAAGTTTTAATAGCATTATCTGGGTTCGGCGCAACCCCCCTTTGGAGCCTAATTGTTTCAAGATAATCTTTTAAAAACTTTGCATGACTGAGTTATCGTTGAGAATATTTTTTATATTCCAGGTGATCCCACAGTTTTTGGCAATCTACCACCAAGTGAAGAATGTGTTCAGGCGCTCTGTGACGCAATAAAGTCAGGAAAGGACAACTTCTACAAGCCAGCTGATGGTTAGTTACATCAATTGCTTTGAGTGCTTCAATCACCCCTGGACCCTAACCCTCCTGTGAAATTTATCTTCAAAATATCATTTAACAAAATTGGATTCCAAGCAAAATCTTCTAGCAAAATAATGGTGCAAAGTAGTTCTTGCCAATTCTTTTTTTACAATGATAACAATAGTTAGACTTTATTTTAACCTTTTGGAACAAATAATTCCAGTTAAAGAACACTTTTTCAAAAAGATTGATTCTCTTTGTAATACAAAGGGTGTATAAGATTCTTCAACATTTACACATCACAAAATATTCCAATTTTCTGAAGATGACTTTGGAATGAATTCAAAATCACAAGATGTTTACAACTTGCACTATTCAACAATAAATTATTCCCTAGGAGGCTGAACACAATTTTAAGGAGTTTCGTGTTCGGGATTTGCATTGGACAGTAGCTGAAAATTGTGTAGTCTTCAAAGACTTTTTCAATATAGTCTACTAGTAAACAGTGTAAGTTCCCTTACTGTAACCAAACACGATAAATATTCGTTGCTCTGTGGCTACTTGAACCATTCGTAATGGAACTGATTAATAGTACCACGTAAAGTGGAATTTCGCTGCATTGTTCTAGCTTACATGACGTACGAAGTTAGAATTTGTTTATGAATTGAGGCATGTGGAAAGAATGGTATTATAATTGTCAGTGTTTGCTTCACAAATGAAAGGATTGCTGTTGTTTTGATACACACTGTGTGTGTTCCACTATTGCAGTCATATACAATCATCTGTATTTGTTTTTGTAGGATGCAAAGAGGCACGAAATACCGTTGCAAAATACAGTTCAACACCTGAATACATCGTGGATGCTGAGGTACATATTCCTGCTCCATAACTATATGGACACTTGTTGATAGTGATATTGATAGAGTACTTGGGAAAAATTCGTGTTACCATGTTTGTTTTCCTAAAGCCATCGTCTCTAATTTTACTTCAAGCAGCTTTATTGATGTCTACGTTAACATGAAGGACTCCTTCTTATGAAGGCAGAAAAATCTTACTTTTCATCCTCTCCCCCCCTTTCTGCCCCTCCACCAAGTTTTGGCATTCCATTGTATATTTTTTTAAAATACAACTTATTGACAATGGTTAACCAAAATGTGGCTGTTTTCTTGCGTTTCATCTCGTTATATCATTTGCAGTGAGTAATAGTCTTAAGCAAAGATTTTTAATTTACACAGGGTTATAGCATCTTTGTTGAATACACTTCTCTCACCACCCCACTCCCCCCTCCTCTCAATAAGTTTTCAATAAGGAACAAAGTCATTTAAGATTTAAGTGTTTCCGTCTCACCATTTAAATTACCGGGGGGTGAATGCAAGTAACGTATGCACCTACATAAAATGTCTTTCAAGGGGTAGGACACCTGAGAAAGCAGCGGCTTTAACCCGACTTTAACAAAATGAGAAATTCGGGGCTTTATACACAAATAATTCTGTGAAAACGCGCTAGTTGATGGTGGTGATAACATCCTAATTCCAAGACCTGGTTTCTCTCTTTACAAATGCATCTGTGGATCGAGGGGGATTGAAGCACGATCCTATAAACTCATTGTAAGTTTATGCAACTTAAAGATATTACGTTTACGTTACTGCTTACGACTAAAGACTGTTTTTAGTATGTGCTAATTAGGATAATGGAGATTAAACACTGTTCTAATTGTATTCTAATTGTGATACTGGAGATTAAAGACTGTTCTAATTATATACTTAATTAAAATCAAAGATTCAAAAGTTCGAAGGATTCCTTTAAGTCTAACCTTGAGTCTTGATTTGGACTTTATGTTCAAATGAATAATGATTATTCATAATTTTCAGCCTGAAAATGGTTGGGAAGTCGACTTGGATGATATGGCTTCACTAATTGACGAGAGAACAAAGCTTATTGTCGTTGTCAACCCATCAAATCCCTGTGGTTCTGTGTACAAAAGAGAACATTTGGAAGAAATATTAAACATTAAATATCTCAAGACATGTACAAGTTTTTTCCGCCGATTTGACCAACAAACTTCGTGCATTCATATTGGTCTTATTTTCTTACAGTTGCTGAAAAATACCGCGTCCCAGTTCTCTGTGATGAAGTTTACGCGCATGTCGTAAGTGTTTGTTAATTGCATGTCACGTGACGATTTTGAATTTCCCGATGCCCTAAATTTAACCGATTGACTCCAGACAATTTTCGAATGGATTGCTAGTTGTGTGATTTGTCAACGCATTACTTTGGAGAGCCGGGCAGCGGTTGCTCTTACGCACTTCGAAAAGGCAAAAAGTAAAACTTTTCTTTATGCCTTGAAAGTTTTGTATTGTATTCTCGTGCGTTTAAGTCACTGCGGAATTTATGGACTAAATGAATCTGAAATGTTCTGTACATAATTATGTATACAAAATTTTTTAATTGAAACATTACTGAAGCTATCGTGATTTTGCGGTCACGGAAATTTCACCAGATTCTCTATTCAATGGCTTTGATTCGTCTGTCGAGACAAATCGTACGTTAAAGTCATCTAGACGCTTGATTTGTCTTATGATCGTCTTTATTCTTCAGACGATTTAAACGATGCATCGTCATCAAAAAATTCCGTCTTCCCTTAAGAAAATTTCACATTTGATTTATATCATATCATACCATATTCATATCATATATGAAATCAAATGTGAAATTTTCGTAAGGGTTAAGTCGTCCAGACATATTATCCGTCTTAAAGCGCCTATTACAAAAAGATTTCGCCAGTCAGTCAAAAACAGCAACAACAACAACAACAACAACATCAACAACAACAACAGTCCTTCTCAGGACTCTACTAACCTGGACGATCTTCATCTACAAACATGGAACGTCATATTGCGTATTGAGTGACCATAACGTTTCAATTACTCTTTCATATTCCTGAGAACTCAATGTTGATATTTGTAGGCTGGATTTTATACTATGAACTCTTACCGATTAAAGTAACGTATCTGCAAATGTAGCTACCTATAGGCCCGTTCACTCGATCCGATTTTGTCGGATCCTAAAAAACGGTTCGTGTGAACACATATAAAGGGAGCTCCGACAGTCGGATCCGTTAATCTAAGAAATCGGATGGAAATAGAACTTGCTCTATTTTCATCCGACTAAATCAAAGGACGCCGACTAGTTAAATTACATACGCTTGAAAAAGGCTTGGAAGCAAGGAAATGTGTAGGTGTCAATTGTGTATTGTATTGGGTGAAGTGTAATGTGTTTAGTTCCTCGTTTGTTTTAATTGACAATGTAACCCGTTGCCTATAGTCAATGCTGTAAGTAATGCATTTTGCCTAGTCCCAGTCAATATTGTGTTTTGTCAGTCGGTGATGTTCGGCAATGTGATTTGTGGTCTTGTTTCTTTGTAGCTCGTTAAGTCTTATGTTTAAGTTCCTGCAAGCTCCCCCGATATAGGAGGCGTGGAAGTCGGTGCAGTTTATTTTGTAAATTGGACCTTGTCGTTCGTTGAGTTGTTCTTTGTCCTTTATGTTCGTTAGCACTTGTCGTAACGTTGTGAGTGGTTTATGTGCAACACGTATGTTGTATGGTCGTAAGATACGCGAGATACTCTCAGACGTACCTTTGATGTTAGGTATCGTTGCTGTTGTCGTTGAGTTGTTCGTTTCGTTGGGTTCATTTTGTTTATAAAGTGTTGCGTTTGATGAAGTCAGAGTTATAGTTGTTTTTGTCACAAACGCTTACGTCTGTGGTGTTTGTAATGAGGGTTTTTATACAAGTAAGTTAAAGATCAAGTGGAATACTGATCAACAGTGATTTCACGTCAAAAGACACTAGTACTTAGGCCCTGTCCTCACGTATCCGGAGTTTTTTGAAAACGGAGGTTTTTTCTCCGTTTTGCCCTTGTGTCCACACGTAAACGGCGTTTTCGCCTACCAAAAACGATGCTTTTTAAATACGACTTCCAGAGTGGATTTTTTTTAAAACACCGGTTTCACAACTACGTGTGGACGGTTAAAACGGAGGTTTTCTAATACGATGACCGGGATGACGTTTTATCGAGTCCGGATGGAGCATGCGTTTTTGCGCCGAATTCAAAACATCACTTCAAAGCATGGTTCAAAGGTTCAAAGTTTAAAGCATTTGTTCAACATGGCGATGCAGAATTGTATAGCTATTTTACTCGGGCTTCTTTCAAGCATCATAGCATGTATTGAGTTACAAATTAACATCTTGAATGTTCACGTTGATTATTTGAGAAAACGAATTAATATTATGAGGATTATATCTATTTCAAAGTCACGGGAAGTTGTTCTAAAACGAATAATAAATAGGCGAGGAAGTCATGCTCTCTCTACGCATGCTCTTTCATATCGTTTTTTCGTATTGCGTTCGTATTTGCGTATACATGTGGACAGGCGATAACGATTCAAATAGGCTACGTGTGGACGCAAATCTTTTCAAAAACGGAGAAAAAAACCTTCGTTTTTAAAAAACTCCGGATACGTGTGGACGGGGCCTTAGTTGTCGGCTATTTTTGTAGTATTCAGTTTTTTAACAAATGGCTGTTCTCACTGCTATAAATATGTAAACGAATATAAATATCAACACAATTATCGGGCCGTCTGAACAAGCAACCAAAAATCGGAGCCGAAGCCATCGGGTCAGACAAATCGGATCGTATGAACGGGCTTTAATAATTCTAGTTCTCATTTTACAATGTGAAAATCACAGGTCAGATAAATAGGAAGTGACAATGGAAGACCTCAGTATCTCGAGAATGAAAAGTGGCATGCTTATATTGTTATAGAAAGTCATGCATTGTCATTTTAAAATATTTCTTCAATGAAAGTGTAACTCAGCTAGCAAAATTTTTGTTTCGTAGGCACTTTAATGCATAAAAACTGGGCAGTTTCAATATAACTCACGATATCGTGATCACGGGAATTTCGCCAATTTTTCATTAACTTTCTTGAAGCTTTTATAGCAAAGCAATTTTTGCATGGAATTTTTTTTCAAATGGATTCCAAACTGATTCCGTGTTTTAATAACGTGAGGCATGTCCAGTAACACATGGCTATTGGATTACAATAATTCAAAACGAAAGCGTTTCTTCCTGTTTGCAAACAATGAAATTTGTTTGGAGGGATTAACGAACATTCCTTAGGAGTGATATCAACATTGAAATATGTTGTAAAATGAATGAAAAATTTTATCTTCATTAATGGTCCAAATGTTTTCTTGTTTTTTGTTATATTACGAGAGGATTTTATCTTTCCTTGGATTCGGCTGGACTTTTTTCGGTAAATTTATACGATTGTAATGCGTTTTCATGGAGGTGACTTTTTCGAACGACGAAATGTGAGACGTTTGGAAAAACCTGCTTCCTGCTTATTTGATAACTGTGATGTTTCTAAACTTGTGTCGCTTCAGGAAAAATTTGCTTTAAATTCTCATGTTATTCCACTGTATTTCTATTAAGAATACTTTCACTATGTGTTAATTGCCTTGTCCATTACCTCATATTCTACCTTTCATTTGTCTGGTATCCTAGGAAACAAGTGAAGCGAAGCAAAACTTCATTCATTTAGAATTCTTGCGCATTTAACAAAAACGACAAGTTTTTTTTTAAATAAACATGTTTCAACATCTCATGATGCTATCTTCAACTTAGAATTCGATAAATGTTTCCGAAATCTTTCGACTCGATTTTGCCGTCTGTTTCTTATTCGTAGCGGCAATAAATCACGAATATCAAAACTCATTTCACTTTATGCAAATTTGAGAGCAACTTCCGTTACGCGTCATATTAAGAAATTTTACGTTAAGCGCATATCTTATTACGCATGCTATTAGCATAGTGACAGCATTGAAATGCGATTCCTGACCAATTGGAGCGTTTAGTCGCTAGCCGAAGCTATTAACCTTATACATACAGCACGAGGTTGCACAGTAGAGTGATGTAGAGGTCCGTTTCTCTCTGTTCGTTATTCTTGAGAATCGTATATATATAATAATTCCGTCATTTATATCCATCAAAAAAATGGCATCTTCTTGTGAAGACAAAGCGACAGAGTGCTGTATAGACCCTCGTTTTGCACTTATTTAAAGTGCATCATGGCGAGGGTCTATACAGCACTCAGATGGTTGTCAATGGTTGTTGCAACGTGACACATGGATCATGGGAATGGGATTTAACACGTCAACGGTTATTGATATTTCAAAAATAATATCATAGAACTTCTAAAAACTCAAAAAAATATGGCGATGGCGGCTTCTGTAAGTTCTTAGTCTGTGCCAAATCAAAAATGGCGGCAAGACTAGCGTTCCAGTTTGTGTCACAAACATTGAACTATAATACATGGAACGCTACCTGAGGCAAATAATCGAAGCCAAATCTTACCTAGACACGTGAGATTTCATCCCAGACACACGTGTTTAGTGTTTCGAGATTCTCTCACGGAGAGAAAAGTGATTGACTACATACTCACGCGTGGCTGGGATATAGTCATGGCTTCAAAAAATTATTAGGGTTTTGTATTACAGGTAGCGTTCCCATGTAATTTCAGTTCAATAGTCACAACTGTCCTTCTCAATCCCATGCTACCACTTCTTATGCTCAAACTTTTAGTCCAGGGAACAAGAAAAAGGATTGTTTTTTAAGGTTTTTCTAGAATGCTAGAAGTATATTTATTATATTAATCAATGTAGTTGTGAATATTTGTGTTTATCTTTTATTAATGGTGGTCTTGGTAATATTATAAGGCGACAAAAGATTTGCTTTGTTTTGTTTTTTACTCTAGTTTATCGTTTCTTGAGAAAAACCCTTTTTTATTGATTTTGTTGTGATTTTATGTCCGGTGTTTTTATACCTGAAGCGGTACTTTCTCCAAAATCGATCTAATTTTCGCATCATTTGCAAGTGATGAAAAGCGTAAAGATGGTAAAATGCACTTATACATAGTGGTTTCATGTTCATGTGTTTCTTGTTTTCGTGACTCCCGCGCGAGGAAGGATTTTAGAAAGAATTTTACTGGTTCGTGGCGTTGGTCACACGCAGCGTTGATCACATTTCGCCTTAAAACATTGTCAATATGACTTCAATTTCAATGCTTTAAACCGAAAGAAGAAACGAAGGGTGAATACATGTGTCATCATTTCTTATCATTTTTTTGAAAGGAGAACATTAAAAGAAGCCTGCTTTTGGGGAACGACTTCAGACGCCAGCAATCTATATAAATACAAAGAATATAAAATTCAAACAAAGGTCAGTGAAATCTTTTCGAATTTTTAAATGTTGTGTCGTCATACAAAACTTTCAACAATAAAATAGATTCCCTGTTCACCATACCAAAAAAATAACATTACTAAGAAAAAATATAGTTATCTAAGAAGTTACTAACAGTTTCGGATAAAATTTGACGGGAATTGTCTTATAAGACACTTGTAAATCTAGATTGAGCCTAATTACTCCACACACTTGGTCTGCCTAAATTGTCGTTTCTCTTCGTTTTACACATTCATGATTTTACATAAGATTATCATTACTTTATTATAACCACAATTTGTAGACATTGAAAATCTTTTCATGCATTCAAGTATCAATGATTTATACAATTTACACTGTCTTGTTATTTACCCCCAGCGGTTGTTTGAATTTTAAATATTTCTTTAGAACTTCACATTGTTGTCAATATGTCGCAATTTCTATGTCATTGTATCATATGATATCTAAATAATGGCATTCCAGATTTGAGATGTACTGAATACCCAGCCAAAGTCTCTCGACTAAACAAAGTTCCATTCTAAAAGCACATTCGCTGAGTGGGCCTTTAAATTCATTTCATGACTATTCCAAGACAATATTTTCACTCCGCTACTTGATTTGAAATATTTTAGCAAAAATCTTACCGTCGATAGACGAGTCTGCTGTTGATACATAAGAGCACAATTTCTGATTCACACTCGATGAGCACGTATGAGTGAGAAGCCTCCCCCCTCACTTCCAACCTTGTTTGGACTAATTTGTGTCAAGAACTTGTCTTAGATTGAGTGCAAGTTAATACCTCCATGCATTCGGTCTGCTGAATTCTCGTTTCTCTTCCTAAGGCGTTTTTATGCCGTTCTTCTATTGTAACCACTCACCAGAAGGACAAAAAGTAATAAAAATAGCAAGGCAAAAGTTGATGTCCCAAATACATTGATTTTTATTTTAAATGCAAGTTTTACATGATAAATTGTACGCAAAAAGATTCCTTTAAATAGAAACATTTTTGGTATGTTTGATATATTCTTCTCCCCTTCTACCCACGCACGCCTTCGCATTTTGCCAATATGCACACAAACGAATAGTGAAGAAAATAACGTTAAATCCAACGAATGCTTTAAAATTTGAATGATGTGCTATAGAAGTTAAAACATTTAAGATTCTGTCGTGATCATTTCTAGAATATTGCTTTTTTAATATTTATTGTGATAATGAATATTAAAAACTGTTCTAATTATATTCTAATTGTGATACTGGAAATTAAAGACTGTTCTAATTATATACTTAATTGAAATCAAAGATTGAATAGTTCGAAGGATTCCCTTAAAACTAACCTCAAGTCTTGCTTTCGACTTCATGTTCAAATGAATAATGATTATTCATATTTTCAGCCTGAAAATGGTTGGGAAGTCGACTTGGACGATATGGCTTCACTTATTGACGAGAGAACAAAGCTTATTGTCGTTGTCAACCCATCAAATCCCTGTGGTTCAGTGTACAAAAGAGAACATTTAGAAGAAATTTTAAACAGTAAATATCTCAAGACAGGTATAAGTTTTTTCCGCCGATTTGACCAACAAACTTCGTGCATTCATATTGGTCTTATTTTCTTACAGTTGCTGAAAAATACCGCGTCCCAGTTCTCTGTGACGAAGTTTTACGCGCTTGTCTTAAGTGTTTGTTAATTGCATGTCACGTGACGACTTGTAAATACGTTCATGTTTCAACTAATGTAAGGTCATCACGATTGTAATATTCGCTTAGACATGAAATGATGTCTAAGCGAATATTACAATCGTGATAACCTTACATTAGTTGACAAGAAAACATGAGCCCAACAATATTGACCTGCTGACCACTGTGTGACTTCATAGCTCAGTTGGTCAGAGCACTGCACCGTTAACGCAGAGGTCATGGGTTCGAATCCCGTTGAGTCACCTGATTTTTTCAGGTCCTGAGACGATTGCTTAAATTGTCCAGCAAAGTGCGAAGATCATACCTTCATTTAATTACCAATTATTATTAAACATAACTTGTCAATGTCAAATGTGGTTTGTCGTTGTCTAAAAAAGATGACATTACAGCAGAATCTTCCTTCAGCCACTTATTATTTACTGAATATTACTAAATATGACCAAAAATATTTCTCAGTTTCGTTATTATTAACTGAAGTCATTTCTAAATATATCTGCACCGTTTAGTTGTTGATTTTACCATTTATATTATTTTCAACGGGGAGAGGCCTGGTGACAAGTATCTCTGTTAAACGGACACCTCCATTAAGCGGTAGCAAGTCCGTTCGCCGAGGCTGTCCGCTTAATACAAGTTTGACTGTATAATTTTCTTAAAAAAATAGAATTGCAGAAGTAAAAGTTAAGGTCTTGCTTCGCCATTACTCCAGACGTTCAGGGAGAATAAACATTCTAGAGAAACGCAATTACCTCAACTTCAAACGATGGCTGTTGGTGATTGATGTTAAGAATGCCATAATTACAAAATACTTAATTATTTTTTTAACTGTGTTTTAGATAAGACAAGCCTTACGACGTCTCTGTCAGGTTATTGTTGGTCCATGTTCGGTGATACAGGCTGCACTACCGACGATTCTTTCCGATTGCCCAGCTGAGTTCTTTGAAAAAACACTCAATCTTATGAAGGTAAAGTACTTACTTTTCAAGAACAATGGCGGACTTCTTGGTGGGGGGTGGAGTCCTTCAAATATAAGTTAAACAACTTCAGGTCCGTCAATGTATATAGAACTTAACCAACTCATCACTGATTAAAAAATTTAAAACCAAGATTTTCGTCACATTTTATCATTATGTCATTTAGAAAACATCAAATATATTCTACGAAAGTCTTTCATTGCTGCCAGAACTTTATCCAGTTCGCTCACAAGGTGCTATGTATATGTTGGTAAGAGAAACTAGTGAATTTTCTTTTTCGCTCGTTCATAATCTTAATCATAATCTCTTTAAAACGTGTCGGTTTTTATTTTAGATCGGTATCAAAGTTGATAGGTTACACAACGTGAAAGATGATGTTGATTTTACACAGAAATTAATGGCCGAACAATCAGTTTTTGTTTTGCCAGCAACGGTAAGTTCCTCACTGTACAACATATGTTCCAACCATGCATATATCCATGTTACTTCATCTTATTTTCATATGAAACATGTATGTCGTTATACTTATCCCAAGTAGACATTTATTTAACTAAAGTGAATAGTTAGATACACCTAAGTCGATAGTTTTGTACAGTCAAGTATAGCCAAGTGGATAGTTAGGTACACCCATGTACATAATTGGGCACTATCCTTTATCGATATTTAGGTACACATGACATTTGTCCGTAACACTTTGATGCAAATCCAGAAAAATTTCGATTTGAGCGTGTTATCACCTTTTGAGCGTGTTTTTATTTTTGCCAAGCTTGGACAAATTTCGTTTGGTTCTTGTTTCTTTGCATGGCTGTCATTATGTCTCTATATTACTGCTCTTAATGATGACAAGAAGTGTTCATAAAAATCCAACAAACAAGTCTGGTCCTTGCCCGCTATGTTTTAGATCATTATCATTATTCATTTCGTTACAGTGTAGACTTCTTTTGTTATTTTGGCCAGCGTAGAAACAGTTGCATAGTACAGAAAATTAATCAAATATTTTGCTTATTTTCTTCTGTGCAGTGTTTTCAATGCCCCAACTTTTTTCGCGTTGTCCTCACATGTCCCGTGGAAGTCGCGCGAGTCGCTTGCGAGAGGATCGCGCAGTTTTGTCGTGATCATCGAAAGAACGCTTTGACCAATGGACACATAGAACATGGGAATGGGATTCATCACGTCAACGGTTATTGATATTTCAAAAATAATATCATAGAACTTCTAAAAACTCAAAAAATATGGCGATGGCGGCTTCTGTAGGTTCTTAGTCTGTGCCAAATCAAAAATGGCGGCAAGTTTAGCGTTCTAGTTTGTGTCACAAACATGGACGCTACTTGAGGCCAATAATTGAAGCCAAATCCTACCCCAGACACGCAAGATTTCACCCCAGACATGCGTGTTTAGTATTTCGAGATTCTCTCACGGAGAGAAAAGTGATTGACTACACACGCGTGTCTGGGATATAATCATGGCTTCAAAAAATTATTAGGGTTTTGTATTACAGGTAGCGTTCCCATGTAATTTCAGTTCAATAGTCACAACTGTCCTTCTCAATCCCATGCTACCACTCCTTTTGCTCACACTTTAGTCAAGGGAACCGGAAAAGGGATTGTTTTTTAAGGTTTTTCTAGAATGCCAGAAGTATATTTATTATATTAATCAATGTAGTTGTGATTATTTGTGTATATCTTTTATTAATGGTGGTCTTGGTAATATTATAAGGCGACAAAAGATTTGCTTTGTTTTGTTATTTACTGTAGTTTACCGTTTCTTGAGAAAAACCCATTTTTATTGATTTTGTTGTGATTTTATGTCCGGTGTTTTCATACCTGAAACGGTATTATTTTCCAAAATCGATTTATTTTTGCATCATTTGAAAGTGATGAAATGCCTAAAGATTATAAAATGCACTTACATACGATGGCCCACAAGGGACACGACTTCTTTATACAAAACTCACGTGCAGTCTTCACTTATTTGTAACCTGATCCATAGAAATAGACCTTCTCCGTAGAAATAGACCTTCTCCGTAGAAATAGACCTTCTCCGTAGAAATAGACCTTCTCCTTAGAAATAGACCTTCTCCGTAGAAATGGCAAATACCGGCTCTAGATGTCAAATATATCAAATTCTTACAATTTAAAATGGCGGCGGAAACCACAAGGTGAAATCATTGAGCTCTATAACTCAATGATTGTTATCCGTTATAGAACTCAATGGGTGAAACCAGTGAACTCCACATATATATATATATATATCTGGAATGATAACGACAATACATTTTATAAATATAAAATTGAAGCCAAAGCCCTAGTCTTGCGCGGTTTGTACGTCAGTTCCAGTCCTTCAAAGTCGAATATTCACGCGGTTTGTACGTCAGTTTCATTCCCCTGAGTGCCAAACATACACGGCCAATATAAATTTGAATACAAATTGCAAAAGCATAAACATATAAACAACATCACGACAAACAACACATGAGGCCAACTCTTTGCAAAAGGTTATTTTTTACAGCTGAAACTTTACTACAGTGAGTTCGTTGTGACTTACAACTTGTAACGAGGAAAAGCCAACTGAAAATTACACTGTATGCTAAAAAGACAATACAATAAGAAAATATGACGAGAAAATATTCTAGCAAAAATTTTTCTTACATCGGAAGGTAAGTTTTCAAACGGTATCAGACAGTGTTTGTCTTTTTTGTCATTTCAGTGAATTTAAAGATCTGTTTTTCAGAAGAAAAAAGAAACTTGGATTTCCAGTTTCATAAAAAATATTGAGTCTATAACTCGCATTTTACTTTTTACAGAGCAATTGTATTTTTCATCGATTTTGATAGTGCTTGAAATACTAAATGGTTGTCATCTCGATATCAATAATTGAATATCCTTAAAGACTTTGATTTGTTTTAAAGGAAAACCGCAGCGTAAGAGCAGATCGACTAAGTTCACCTCACCTTGCTTCTCGATTTATCACTTTGATTCACTTTCCATGAAACTTTTCCTTCCAAAAATTTCGTTATTTTTACGCTCTGATCAAGATCCGAACTCTACCATTACCAAGGGACAAATGATTAAAAAAAAAAATGAACACGCGAGGACTAGAGCCAGACGTGTGATGACGAATGATGACAACAAATATTTTTTTGCCTTCAATTTTTGGCTTCGGTTATCATTCCAGTTATTCAAATGTCGAGTTCACTGAGTGAAACTTGTATAGCGAAACTGAGGCCTTTAAAGGGCGCGTTTTTGTAGCGAATGTGGAACGAAATTTTTTAATAAGGCAGCAAAATACTGTCAACTGCGGGAAACCAACATCTGCAGGTAATAAAATTTTTTCTATAATGAATCAATAGAATCATCAATTATGAATTGTGGATATTAATTGTGCGTATATATTATTGTGGTTATGTAAAAGATTCCGAAAAACTTATAATGTATTTTCATTTTACATGTTAATAGGGCAAATTTTGCGAAAGGCTAGCAAATTTAATTTGTATTTGTACACATATTTCTCTTTGATGCATTTACATTACATGCCACCAATATTTCCTTTTTAAATTTTTCTAATCAGAAAATCTACCTTCAACACCAAGCATTAATGAGCCAACATTATCATCCAGTTCAAGTTCAAGTTAACTGTTGCCAAATGACTCCAGTAGACCGATGTCAACATTAACATTCAATGAATATCGGAAAAGAAAGCAAGTGAGTCGAGCTAAGAAAATTCAATTGTGTAAGAAACCAAAACAACATGAGGATGTTAAAATTCAAGTTGGTGTCGTAGAAGCTGAAGGGAAAAGGTTAAAAAGGCTGAAGGAAAGAACACTACCCTTAATTGTCTCATCCCAATGTAATGCAGCTGACTTAATGAAGGCTGCAATAAATAAACATTTGAAGCATTTTAGACAGTTCATTAAGTATACTTCCTACACTCTTCTCTATCCAGACCATTTTATTGTACAGAAGTTACCTGGCAGTGCAGCACAGTTTGTATTGAGTGAGTACAAACAGGAATTAGGAAAACCCTATTCAAAAAAATATTTTTATCTGTGTACTACAATAGATTTGGACAGAGTCCAAGATTTTCCGTATTCAGACTCTGATGACTATGACTATGATGCTCAAAATAATGAAAAAACAGAGATTATACAACTGGAAAGTTTTACTAAAATTTCTGATACTTGCAATAAAATGGTGGTCACTCAGGATAGTGAGAAAAAGGAAGCAATAAAAGTAAAAAGCTTTATTAATATAAGTGATGATGATGACAAAAATTCTCCTCCGTCATCTGCAGAAACATGTCCAACTTGTTTCTGCATGTTTCCCTTTAATGAAATTGAAGGCATAATTTGTTGCGGAGTGTTCTTTTTTTTGCCTTCTGCCGATCAGCTGTTAGATGGGATGACAGCTGAATTTAGTGAAGAAGGAAGCAATTGCAAAATGGCAGAAGTTTATGTTTAAAAATTCTTTCTCGATTTCTTGCAGGATTCCAATGCTTTCCAAGGTATATCTGCTGTGTTGCAAATTCAACATAATTGATGTATAATGTAAAAAAGATCTTCCAAAATTCTACTTTTGTTCACAACCTGAAAAAATTGCCATTTCATTCAATGTGCGGACACACATCGTAATACCATGATATGTTTTTAATAAATTGGTGATGTCATGATACTTGTATCCCAGATGAAATAAGTATTCAATACAATCTTGTTCATGGTGACAGGCATTTTGTGGAAATTCTACAAATTGAAAGCAAGAAATGTATTAATTGAAGTATTTTTCTAAATGTTTGGTATATGTCCCCGATATCACAAAAATATATAATAGCTCACACAGGGTATGAAACATACACGTAATGAAATAATGTATGATCAAATCCTTCACAGACCACCGATCAGTGATCACTGTTATGATATTTTGATTAAATTTACCTGAAAATTCCTTTCCGCAGTTATGACAGTATTTTGCTGCCTCATTAGCAAATTTCGTGCCACATTCACTACAAAAACGCGCCATTTAAAGGCCTCACTTTCCCTATACAAGTTTCACTTTGTGGTTTCCGCCGCCATTTTGAAAGGTTAGAATTTGATATATTTGACATCTAGAACCGGTATTTGCCAGAGCCCTCTATTTAGTAGTTTGCCATTTCTACGGAGAATGTCTATTTCTACGGAGAAGGTCGAGTTCTACGGAGAAGATCTATTTCTACGCAGAAGGTCTATTTCTACGGAGAAGGTCGATTTCTAGGGAGAAGGTCGATTTCTACGGAGAAGGTCGATTTCCACGGAGAAGGTCGATTTCTAAAGAGAAGGTCGATTTCTCCGAAGAAGGTCGATTTCTACGGAGAAGGTCGATTTCTACGGAAAGGTCGATTTCCAAGGAGAAGGTCTATTTCCACGGAGAAGGTCTATTTCCACGGTGAAGGTCCGTTTCTACGGAGAAGGTCCATTTCCACGGAGAACGTCTATTTCCACGGAGAAGGTCTATTTCTACGGAGGTCTATTTCCATGGAGAAGGTCTATTTCCACGGAGAAGGTCCATTTCTACGGAGAAGGTCCATTTCTACGGAGAAGGCCCATTTCTCCGGAGAAGGTCCATTTCTACGGAGAAGGTCTATTTTCACGGTGAAGGTCTATTTCCACGGTGAAGGTCTATTTCCACGGTGAAGGTCTATTTCTACGGAGAAGGTCCATTTCTACGGAGAAGGTCCATTTCTACGGAGAAGGTCCATTTCTACGGAGAAGGCCCATTTCTACGGAGAAGGTCTATTTCACGGTGAAGGTCTATTTCACGGAGAAGGTCTATTTCTACGGAGAAGGTCCATTTCTACGGAGAAGGTCCATTTCTACGGAGAAAGTCTATTTCCACGGAGAAGGTCTATTTCCACGGTGAAGGTCTATTTCCACGGAGAAGGTCTATTTCTACGGAGAAGGTCCATTTCTACGGAGAAGGTCCATTTCTACGGAGAAGGTCCATTTCTAGGAGAAGGTCCATTTCTACGGAGAAAGTCTATTTCACGGAGAAGGTCTATTTCCACGGAGAAGGTCTATTTCTACGGAGAAGGTCCATTTCTACGGAGAAGGTCCATTTCTACGGAGAAGGTCCATTTCTAGGGAGAAGGTCCATTTCTACGGAGAAGGTCCATTTCTACGGAGAAGGTCCATTTCTACGGAGAAAGTCTATTTCCACGGAGAAGGTCTATTTCACGGAGAAGGTCTATTTCACGGTGAAGGTCTATTTCCACGGAGAAGGTCTATTTCTACGGAGAAGGTCTATTTTCACGGTGAAGGTCTATTTTCACGGTGAAGGTCTATTCCTACGGAGAAGGTCTATTTTCACGGTGAAGGTCTATTTCCACGGTGAAGGTCTATTTCTATGGAGAAGGTCTATTTCTATGGATCAGGTTACAAATAAGTGAAGACTGCACGTGAGTTTTGTATAAAGAAGTCGTGTCCCTTGTGGGCCACCGTACTTACAAGCAGTGGTTTCATGTTCACGTCTTTCTTCTTTTCGTAACTCCCGCGCGAAGAAGGATTTTAGAAAGAATTTTATTTCGCACTAAAACATTGTTGTAGCAATTTTCTCCTTTGCGCGTTAGCACAAAGCAGTTATGCGTCTGGCGATTCGTTTTTTGGGACTGTATACTATCCTACTGTACGCGCAGTCGACATACAATTCTCAATTTTACTCAATATAACTATTCCAATATAACTATTCCGCATCACAGATAACCTTAAACATTTCAAGCTTTTACCTTCATTGCCAGCGACAGAAGACCCTGATTTTCAACGTGTCACAATTAATAAAGTATTATAAGTTTCTATTTCCGTTCTTTCTTAAGTTCCTAGTATCAAATAACAACTATCTATCACTTATTTATATAAGTTCCGACAATTGTCATATTCATTTCATGCTTTAAACCGAAACAAGAAACGAAGGGTGAATACATGTGTCTTCATTTTTTATCATTTTGCTGAAAAAGAGAACATTGAAAGAAGCCTGCTTTTGGGGAACGACTTTAGACGCAAGCCATCTATATAAATACAAAGAAAATAAGATTTAAACAAAGGTTAGTGAAATCTTTTCGCATTTTTAATTCTTGTGTCGTCATACAAACGTTTCATCAATAAAATAGATTTCCTGTTCACCATACCAAAAAACCAACATTATTAAGCAAAAATTTAGTTAACTAAGAAAATACTAACAGTTTTAGATAAATTTTGACGGGAACTTGTCTTATAAGAAACTTGTGAATCTAAATTGAGCTTAATTACTCCCACACACTTGGTCAGCCTAAATTGTCGTTTCTCTTCCTTTTACACATTTATGATGTTATATAAGATTATCATTACTTTATTATAACCACATTTTGTAGACATTGAAAATCTTTTCATGCATTCAAGTATCAATGATTTACACAATTTACACTGTCTGATTTCATTTCCATAAAAGTTGAAGTATGTTTAGTATGCTCGCGTGACCGAAACAAATATATATTTTATGATGCAAATATTGTATAAATATACTCATCGTAAACCAGCTCATCAGACATTTCTACGAGATGCTTTAATAGGTCTGGTACACAAAAAGAATGATAGCACAACGCTATAACCAACAACTACAAATAATAACTATCTTATCTAACAACATTTGAGAAATTAACCTCCATTCCTCTTCCTTGTAAACGAGACAAGTCTGCTCAAAAGCAGAGAGCTATATACGCTACAAGTCCCGGGCTTGTGACCGGTATAGCAGAGTAAAAGGTGAAAGGTTTATCATAGACTAATCAACTGAATAATCCTGCTTATATTTGTTTGGAAGCATGTTGAACAGTTCATATGGACAAAGCTCGAATTCCATATTTAATATCAGTAACATAATCCGGTGTTAATGTTAGACAATACATCATTGCCCTTCAGTGAAAGCATCCCGCTTTCCACTGGAAAAGAATGAATCTAATATCGATGTTAAACATAGATTATTACAAGCATCTGCTTGCCGATATGTATAAGTATAATCACAAGGTTAAATAGTTGGAATGTTATTAAAAAAAAAGAATGACAGCACAACGCTATAACCAACAACTACAAACAATAACGACCTTATCTAAGGTCTGGTACACTTTGTAAAACGTTGATTAGAAATCGCTCATTTAATCGTTTTTATAATCTTCAAGTTCTTTTCAATGTGAGATTTTCATTTGTGGTGAATACATTGCACATAGTTGAAATTTTCACAACAATAACTCGACTTTAGCATCGACATTTAAAGTATGTTTACATCATACAAATATAATTAAAAACTATCTATGACAATCTTTAGTATAATTCAATTTGTTCACGTTATATTTTCATTGAAAATACTTAGCCCGCTCAGAACTTGGTTTCCGATGAATGAAATGCGGTAATATATTTCCTTTTTTTTAGTTTTTACTGTTCTATTTTTATTCCAAAGCCATCATCAGAGTATATATATGATATATTAAAAATATATTATATATATACTGTTTTCCTGTTCTATCTTCATTGTTGACTTTTACATAAGAGAAATAACATAATATACAGCAAAACAGCAAGGAATTGTTTACCCCCAGCGGTTGTTTGAATTTTTAAGATTTCTTCAGAAATTCATATTGTTGTCAATACGTCGCAATTTCTATGTCAATGTATTATATGATATGTAAATAATGGCAATCCAGATTTGAGATAAACTGAATACCCAGCCAAGGTTTCTCGACTAAACAAAGCTCCATTCTAAAAGCACATTCGCTGAATGGGCCTTTAAATTCATTTCATGACTATTCCAAGACATTATTTTCACTCCACTACTTGATTTGAAATATTTTAGCCAAAATCTTACCGTCGATAGACGAGTCTGCCGTTGATACGTAAGAGCACAATTTCTGATTCACACTTGATGAGCACGTATGATTGAGAAGCCTCCTCCCTCACTTCCAACCTTCTTTGGACTAATTTGTCTCAGGAACTTGTCTTAGATTAAGTGCAACTTAGTTCCTCCATGCATTCGGTCTGATGAATTCTCTTTTCCCTTCGTAAGGCGCTCTTATGCCGTTCTTCTATTGTCATCACTTATCAGAAGGACAAAAAGTAATAAAAATAGCAAGGCAAAAGGTTAATGTCACAAATACTTTGATGTTTATTTTAAACGCTAGTTTTACATGATAATTTGTACGCAATAAGATTCCTTTACGAAGAGCCATTTTTGGTACGTTCTTCTCCCCCTCTCCCTACACACACCTTCACATTTTGCCAATATGCATACAAACGAATCAGTGAAGAAAATAACGTTACATCCAACGAATACTTTAAAATTTGAATGATGTGCTATGGAAGTTTAAACATTTATAATTCTGTCGTGGTATTTTTTAGAATACTGCTTTTGTAAAAGTGACTAATTAATATCTCACACAGTGAATTAAATTGAACTTATTGCACATTCTTAGACGCAGCATGAACATTCAAATTTTTGGTGATTTTAACTATTTTACATTCAATAACTTTAATGACTAACTGATAAAGCCATTTTTAGGTTTTTGTACATCGTAATATGCAAGTTTGGAAATCTTCGCACCGTATGATTTTGTTACTAAAAAACCGATGACCATCTTGTAAAAATTTACTCACTATTTTTTAAAAATTTTCAATCAATAATATAGATTTGCTATTTTTCCTTATTGTGAAAAACCAACATTATAAAGACAAAACGCAATGTAACAAGTATATACTAAAGCAAATTTGTGACACGAAATTGTTGTTTCGCTTCCTTATTCGTTCATTATGACTTTATTTTATCAACATTATTGGTTTAAGTAAATGGACTGAACCCAGAAGTATCATTGCATGTTTGTAGCTGTAGATCGTCCAGGTTAGTAGAGTCCTGAGAAAGACTGCTGGTGCTGATGTTGAATGACCTTTCGAAAACATTAGCGGTAGTCATCTTCAGACGTCTTGTTCGCACGTCATCGTATTGTCTGTACAGGAAATGTGTGGGTGTCAATTGTGTATTGTCATCATGAAAGTAATGTTTAAGGTTGTGAATAAATTGTTTTCGAAAAGTGCCGGTAATTGTTGTGATCTGTTCAGTGGATTTGTTCTAAGTTGGTATACCAACTTTCTAACGTAAGCCCTCCATTCTCTGTAGTCAGTGCTGTAAGTAATGCATTTTGCCTAGTCCCAATGAATGCTGTGTTTTGTCAGTTGTTGATGCTCTGCACTGTGATTAGTTTTGTCTTGTTTTTTTGTTCCTCATTTGTGTTCAGTAAGTCTTATGCTTAAAATCCTGTCAGTCACACCGATGAAGAAGACGTGGCAGTCCGAGCAGTTTATTCTGTAAACTGCACCTTAGCGTTCGTTTGATTGTTCTTTGTCTTTGACGTTTGTTAGTACTTGTCATAGTGTTATGATTGGTTTATGTGCGACACGTATGTTGTATAGTCGTAAAGATACGCGAGATAGTCTCAGACGTAACTTTGATATAAGGTACGTTGCTGCTGTTGTTGCTGCTGTTATTCGTTTCGTTGGGTTCATTCTGTTTGTAAGTGATGCGTTTGATGAAGTCAAAGAAATTGTAGTCCCCTACTCATCCTATGCCACACTTCAGTAACCCACTCACCCTATGGGTCACACTGCAGTCCCCCACTCACTCTATGCCACACTGTAGTAACCCACTCTCCTTATGTGTCACCCTTTAATCCCCCACTCACTTCATGTCACACTGTAGTCACCCACTCACTCATGTCATACTGTACTCCCCCACTCAACCTATGTCATACTTTAGTCCCCACTCACTTCATGTCACACTGTACTCCCCCACTCACCCTATGTCATACTTGTTCGTCTTACGATATATTTCAGCGGAGAAAACGCTTTAATTTTAAAAGTAAATTTTATTACGTAAAAGGAAAGAGCAACGAAGGTTGTGCGAACGTACACATGCGCCCACGATATAACCTTAAACATAGATAATACTTCATAACAACGTAATAAAGACTGTTGAGTGTAATTTACAACACTCCCACTCACTCAATATGTTAAAATGTTTATGCAAGTCCCAGTTTGCATCGCAGCTATTCAAATTGTTCTCTTGGTAATGGTTTAGTAAAAATATCTGCCATCCTTTCCTTGGTTGGAAAGTACTTTATTTCGAGTGTTCCATCTTTAACTTTCTCGCGCACGAAATGGTGTTTAATATCAATGTGCTTTGTCCGCTTGTGTAGCACTGGATTCTTTGAGATAGCGATTGTACCTTGATTATCTTAATGTATGTTCTTAGCCGCAGTACAATCCATTTGTAGGTGTTTAAACAGTTGTCGCAGCCATGCTACTTCTTGGGTTGCATAACATAACGCAATGTACTCCGATTCCGACGTTGAAAGAGCCACTGTTGGTTGTTTCTTGCTTGCCCAACTAATTGCACCACCTGACAATATAAACACATTTCCGGAAGTTGAACGTCGATCGTCTGTGACGGAGGCCCAGTCTGCATCATACTTTCCCTCTAAATCGATACTGTTTTTTTGGTACTGCAGGCTTAGTTTACAAGCTCCTTTCAAGTAACAAAAGATACGTTTCACTGCTGTAAGATTTGCTTCGTTCGGTGCTGTGTTGAATTTAGCCAATGTTGTTACTGCTTGAGCTATATCTGGACAGGTAGCAATTACCGCTTACACCAAACTTCCTACCATTGACTGAGAGTGAGAGGCATCGACTGATTTGTAATGTCCATCTTCTTTAACATATTTGACGCTTACATCCATTGGCGTAGACACTGTCTTGCAATCTTGTAATTTATACTTTTTCAGAATCTTGTTGATGTATTGCTCCTGATTGATTTGTAACACACCGTTCTTTATTGTAATACTAACTCCTAGACAGTAGTGGAGTACGCCCATATATTTCATTTTGAATTGGCTTGCCAAGTTGGCCTTTAGATCATTCATCTCTTCTTCAGTTTCAGTCAAAAGTATGAGGTGATCAACGTGAACAGTGATAATCGCCAGCTTATCGTTGAGAAAACGAATAAATAGGCAATGGTCTGCTTCACTCTGAACAAATCCTAATGATAACATAAACTCTCTGAAAACCTTATTCCAGCAACGTGGACTTTGCTTTAGACCATAAAGCGATTTTTTGGGACGACACACTAGCTTTTCTTTTCCTGGTTTTACGTAGCCTTCGGGTTGTTTAATGTATATTTCCTCTTCCAATGTTCCATTGAGGAATGCCGTTACTACATCCATTTGATGGATCAACATTTCTCGAGATACACCAAAAGCCAGAAGAGTGCGAATTGACGAAAAACGAGCCACTGTAGAGAATGTCTCTTCATAGTCAATTCCATATTTTTGCAGAAAACCCTTAGACACCAGACGACCTTTAAATCTTTCTACCTTTCCTGTTTCATCGTGTTTAACTTTAAAGACCCACTTGCAACTGATAGGCTTACGTCCAGCTGGTAATATGCCTAATTCCTAGGTCTTATTCTCTGGTAAAGACTGGTATTCTGCATCTGCAGCAGCTTTCCATTTCGTTGCATATTCACTATTAATAGCATCTTTTAGGGTTTCTGACTCTGTGATCTCAGATACGTAAAGTGCTGCATACTTCGATGTAGTGATCCCAGCATACTCGTCGTGGTAATATGTTGGTGGATTTCTCTCTCTTCCTGAGCGTCGAGGCTCATACGAGGAATCTTGTTGTTCATTTCTGGTTGCACCATCTTGTCCTTTTCTTCTTCAGCACACTCGGTAATATCTTCACCACACTCCATTTGAGCTTTTGTTGATCCAAAATCTGTTTCATTAAATGTAACTTCCCTCTCAATAAAGACTTTTTGTTGATTCTCATCGTATAACCTGTATTCTTTCTGTGTGAGACTGTAACCAACAAATCTCATCTTGACTGCTTTTTGGTCGAAATTCTGGCGCACCGCATCAGGAACATGAGCATAAGAAGTACAACCAAAGACACGAAAATGGGCACATTCTGCTTCTTTCCGTACTTCTTTCATACGGAGTTACCGCAGTTGCAGTAGTAATGACTCGATTTCTTATGTAGGCTGCATTGCGCACTGCTTTAGCCCAAAAAGCTTTGGACAGTCCAGCATGCAAAATCATACAAAGACCTGCTACTTGGATTGTCTGATTCGTGCGCTCAGCTATCCCGTTCTGCTTGGGTGAATGGGGCACTGTTTTCTCATGAAAAATTCCTCTCTCCTTTAAAACATCTTCAAACTCAGTAGATGTATATTCACTCTCATTGTCCGTGCGTAGTGTTTTTATCCTACACTCTGATTGGTTTATGACTGTTGCCTCCCATTCCTTGAATTTTTCAAGCATTTCTGGCTTGTGCTTCATTGGATATACCGTAACACATCTAGAATAATCATGAATGAAGGTGACAAAATATCTTGCACCTCTAAGGCTTTCAGTCTTCATAGGTCCGGCAACATCACTATGAACCAACTCCAATCTTTTGGTTGATTGAATATCTCCCACTGGCTTAAATGGTGTGCGGTGTGCCTTTCCTTCTACACATGCCTCACAAAAGCTTGAATTGCAAAATTTAGGTATGTCCTTACCTGTGATAAGTTGCTTTGAAGCCATGGTTTTCATTTGACCGACACTTAGATGTGCCATTCTTTGGTGTCATAGATCAAGTTTAGTGCCATTTTCATTAACAACTGATGCTTATTTTTTCGGTTTGTCAACTTTACAATCAAGTTGATACATTTTCTCAACTAGTCGACCGCGTGGTACAGCTTGTCCATTGGAGTTCTTTATCCAACAGAGACTGTGTCCAAATTGAACCACTTTGCCTTTAGATGCTGCTGCACGTGCGCTAAAAAGATTTATAGCTATCTTTGGGACGTAAAATACCTTTGTCAAAATTGATTTCTGTTGATCTTTCTCTTTACGTCCAAGTATCATGGTGATGTCACCTTTTCCATACCCATATGCATTTACGTAACCACCGTCTCCAAGTGTAACATGGTCTGGCTTTGGTAACTCGCAGTAGTTTAGCAAAATATCGCAACTAGCTTTTATATGTCGCGAGGCTCCTTAATCAAATATCCAACAACTGTTTCCTTCTGTTGCTGTCATTCCTTCAACAAATACATTACCTCCAGAATTTTCATTTTTTGTTTCCCTCAGTCTCTAACGAAGGTGCTTTATGCTTTAATAAATGTCCCTGCTTGTTTCTATACTTATTCTCCCCTTTCTTTCTTTTGAAACAATTTTTGATCACATGGTTTTCTTCCCCCCATCCCTAGCATTTGATGGGCTTTCGATTGTTTTGAATAAATTGCTTTTTAAAATATAGAAAATGTCCCTAACTATGCAAAAGTCATTCGACAAACTGAAGATTGTCCTCGTTATCAATAAAACGTAAGCACTAGCTGCACTAAATATCATTGAATGAATTCTGTTGAAAAGGTCAAAGTGAGTTTACTCTTATAAATTAAAGCACGACGAACTGATCGACACAAACTATTGTAACAACAAATACAATATATAATATAAATGCAAAATTAATAAACTAAAGCAGAATCAGCCAGAAAAAAGGTTATGGTTTCCACACGGAGTTTTCCTCATTATTGTTATTCATCCTAATTTGAATAAACTTCCTTTCTCTTTCAAAAGCTCTCACTTCGATGTATTTCCCTCGTTGTCGCTTTTTTACTTTCGTCACTTGACAATGTAGACTTTGAGCCATCTTTAATGTTAGGTAATAAATACACTTTACAAGTCACTACACACATCAATTTTCATGTCTTCAAACACACACAAACGATACAGAATCGATGAAATAACGGGACTAAATAGTGGACTATAAATATCGTCTACTCTTTGTAAAACCTTACTGCAGAGAGAGATCTAGGATAATTTTGTTAGAATGGTGCTATAGTTTTTTTATATGATCTCGTTCGGTCAGTTTAGTTTCACGCTTGTCAAAAATGATCGCTAAATCACAAAAATGCAGTACGCGCATTCAGCGGTTTTCTCAAGAAAATAGTCCTTTAGTGTCATGTAAAGTAATGTAAAGTAACTCTTGAATTTTTGCCGGTAAACTATCGTTAAATCAACAACATAGCAGGAGCATTAAGTTTTATTTGGATTTTATTCGTATTTTAAAATCTCCTTCATTTTTCTCTCATTATCGATTTCTTCTTTTTCCCTCGTAATTTGCAAAATTTTCTTGCAAAGTTAAAACTCTGATCCATGGATTATGCTGTAAATCGTTGCTGTAAACATATTAATATATATTAATATAACTGGTTGAAATTTTAAAAGAAATAAAGCATTTTGTTTGAATCGAGTATTCATACAAACACAGCTAATTTTACTAATGTTTTATCTTTCGACAGAGACGCAATAGATTTATACACAAGCTCTACGAGTACAAATCATCAAAACGCCATGTCTCTTGATAACTTACTGCTCTCTCTGTTTCAATTTTTTACGAACAAAGCCCGAGATGCTGCAGCAGACAGGCTAGAAAACGGTGACGTTGGTAGTGAAGGATTTCGCGAACTTATCAAGCGAGATTTACACGACATCAAAAGAAAGCTAGATAATCTTTCGAAAATAGATCTTTGCTCCAGTTTGAACTACTTGGAGGAAGGATTTATTCTACTTTTTAATTGTATTGACGAAGTAGAAAGTGATAGAGAATGTGAAGAAGCAAGTAATAATGATGAGTCTGAGGCAACTTGTAGTGCCATCACCACCAAGTATGATCTTTCCCATGCAATACAACATTCAAAGGTTTTTGAAAGGGCAAAGGATCGATTTAAAAAATCCCGTGAGAAAGCAACGGATGTTTTCAACAACAAAAATTTAAGCTTGGAAGAGAGAATATTTGCCGTTGTTGTTAAGATCATGGCACAAATTTTTGAATGTCCGGAGCATCGAAAGAATGTCATTGATTTATGTTTATCTTATATAAAAAGGCTGCATGAAATGGACGGTGTTCGTAAAATGTTCTCTGTTTCTATCGGTGGTGGCATGAAAGCGATGTTCGGAAAATCTCAGAGAATGGAAAACATTAAGTCTGTCATTCTTCTCAACCATCATTTATATCAGTTCATTGCAAGGATCAACAACAATCATGATCATTTATCATCTTGGCCAAGTATTGAACTTGGAGACGGAAAAATGTTTGATCCAATACAGGACTGGCGCAAGGAATTCGCTGTCGAGTCTTGGTATAAAAATTTGATTGAATCTTCCCAAGAAATGAAAAAAATGAAAACCATGATGTTTGAACTTTTGGACAAGATGACTATAAATGAACATTTTGCTCCAATCTTGACATTACCAGTTGAATTAGTTATGGATTTATTAAGAAGTGATATTTTGGTTGCTGATGTTTACATTGTTGAAATATTTTCATGCAAGGAGAAGAAATGGTTTAGGATGGCATCAATGGAAAATGGACACCGGAGTGCTTCATCATTTATTTATAATGATAATTTATTTGTTGTTGGAGGTGGCGGCAGCAAGTCAATGGAGACATTGAATATAAAACAGTTTCCTTTAACATGGAGGAAATTTCCCTCAGAGCTTCCTTGTAGATGTTGGGATCATCAAACTGTTGTTTGTAAACAAAAAATCCTTTTCATTGGAGGATACATTGCAGGTAAAGGACCATCAGATTTGATCTGTGAAATAAACATTACAGGTACAACATCTTATGTTTTAAAAGAGTTGTGTCATATGCCTGAACCACGTTGGTGCCATGGAGCTGTTGTTGTTGATGATAAAGTTCTTATTTTTGGAGGATGGACAAAAGATGGCAAAGTTTTGTCCAGTGTTTTAGAGTTTGATCCAAGGACACTTACATTTAAGGAAATGCCTCCATTACCTCATCCATTGGCTAACATGGCAACAGTTCAATGGAGAGATCAAGTTGTTCTTCTTGGAGGTAATGATGATGGAAGAGAAGCATTGAACAGTGTTATTATGTATGACATCAAAACAGGTAAGATTACAGTCTTACCACCCATGTTGGAAAAGAGACATGGTTGCTGTGCAGTTATAACTGGTGATACAATTGTTGTCATGGGAGGTGTGAATGATAAAGATGAAAGTCTTAAATCAGTGGAGTGTTTCGAAATGGGAAGTAGTTCTTCATGGACATATCTTCCTTCAATGAGGGAAACACGACGAAGAGCCATTGCTGAAGTTTTACCTTTTGGACAAAAGTATGTCTAAGACACGAAATTTCATTAAGTTATGGAACGTTATAACTCATCAATGTTTGTTTGGACTACATTGGATGATAAATTTGTAAAATTTAAAATGTATAGTTCAAAAGTTCATATAATCATTAACTATTTTGATAAATTTCTGAAATAGGTGAATGTCTTTTCTATCTAAATAAGTTTGAGTTTTTAGAGGATAGTTTATACCTTTTTTCTTGTCCTTGTTTCATTGTAGTTTATTGAACAATAAAATACAAGTTTTCCATTGTAAAAATTACTTTACTTAAAATATTTTTCGTAGCGGCAAAATACTTTATTTCCCAGTTTACCAGACTTTTGTTTCTATTGCTCTAGAGGTTTATAAAGACAAACACATTGGGATTTTCTTTAAATCTTTTTTTGTTCTTCTTTTGTTCTTCTCTTAGCTTATGCTTAAATTTTTTAATGAGATTTCACCGTCATTTTAAAAGAAAGCAAAAGAAACAGTGGATTTTACCATGTATCCTACCACGTTTGGTAATCTTCAATAAATGTAGGTCCATTTGAGAAATAGCAGTTGAGTAAGATTTCCAATCTTTTTAGTGGATATAACTTTTAAGATCAAAATTTCATACCTTATGCACTGCTTGGGCTTGTTCAACCATTACGTCTAGTGATGAATATTTTATGCCATGCTTTCGGTCGGAAGATGAGTAGAAATTTCCCAATAAATAGTAAATATTCTCTTTGCAGATGAGATAAATATTATTTCACAAACAATTTGCAATATTATGTTTTATTCGTTCATTTTCACGCTTTTATTCGGTGGTTCGTAATCGTAATACTGCAAAATCTCAAGATTTGTCTTGTAACCTAGCAACTGCCTATTCTCGCACATTTCAATGCATACTCACGTGATTTCTCAACGTTTTCCGCCTATCTTCAGAGGACGGAACCATTGAGTTCTATAATAACTGGAGCGGCTATCTCTCAAAAGTTGATTCAAGTTTGTTTTTGCGTTTGAATTTCGTATCAGAGTAATCATGTAGACGCATTTACATGAATTTTGAAAATTTTTGGCCAGAAGAATCATCGCAAAGGTAAGAAATAAGAATAAGCCATTTTATTTCAGATATATTTGTAAAACTTGTAGTTTATGGTAACATTTCATCAACAGTTTCAAACTATTCATAGCTGTGATTCAATTAGTGGCAAGCACAATCGTGCCGAATCAATTAAATTTTCCAGCTCATTTTACCTTGAATTAAAGTATTTATCATTCACACATTACTATATTTTGAAGCACTCATTTTATTTGCACAATTTGCACTGATACCATAACAATGATTTTGTTGCATGTCAAATAATATTGATAATAATTTTATCTGCATCTAAAATGTGTTGAGAAGGTTATGGCAAAGTCAACATTAAGGCAACTTGCATGAAAAAATTGACCACATTGATCACAACCCAGCCAGTCTTACTGTCATCCTCTCTGCATATTTTGCAAACAGCCACATTTTGCTTCCTAAGATATTCATAATGAATTCCATATAAAAATATTCGACCAAATGTTATTTATGCCTTACCATGTGATATCATCATAGCAAGACTCAAGTAATGTTGAAAGGATTCGTTTTCTCTCAGTCTCCATGTTTGCTGGTTTTTGATCCAAGCCAAGGGCTAGACATCGAGCAAACTGATGCAAAATGATCAGTTATTGAATAATCATGTTTGTAAAAATAGCTATTCAAGTAAAGTTAGGCCATTTAAGCTTACCAAGCATATGTACACTCCACAGTTATACATATCTTCCTGTTTACAATGAAGTGGCTCAAAACATTGCCACGAGCTTGAGTTCCAACCTGTTTTTACATCTACCAAAGCACTAAAGCAGTGACAAACAATGACAACATGAATGATAATATTGATTGTTGAAAATGATTTTTGGGCAAATCTTTTAAGATTAAGTTTGATAATTACCTTAGTTTGTTTATATGATACATCATCTGTGTATTAGGTGTCTTTTTGTCTGCACTTCCTCCAAGTGAGTCAAAGTAGAGTCTTGTTTTTGAGAAGTTATTCATAGTCTATATTACACAAAATTACTGTTGCATTTAGTTAAAAATTTTCTCTTTGTTGATTAAGAATTATATGAGTTAATGTTTCTATAGATACTAATTTTTGCATGTAAATCTGTGGACTCATGTGGGCTAAGTATGTGTATAATGCATGTCTATATTTTATTATTTAGCTCAAATACTTACCAGTAGTGTCCAATGAATGCCATGGATGTTGATTGGAAAAAGGATAATTTTGGTTTGGTGAAAAGATATATTAACCTATGTGCATCTTGTGCTTGAGTTGTTTTTAACAATCTCTGAAATAAATGATTCTGCTGCAAAAACAGTAGTGTAGTTTTCAGTCAAACTCCACAAAAAGCGTCAATTATCCAAAATCAAAAGAAAGCATAGTTTGAAGAGATTTCCTCTCAAGTTTTACGTGTACATAGCACTCATGGTTATTAACAATTTCTTATAATGATAAATAAGAATACTATATTAGACGCTTTTTTCTCTTACAGAGTCAGTCAGCCAACCAGGTTTGAATGTGGTGACTTCTTTTTCAATAATTTTAATTCTTTTCAGTTATGTCTTTTGGACTGACAATTGACCAAAGATCTACTGTTGATACATTCACAGGACCAAATTCCAGCACAGTATCCCCAAGACATTGTCTTTCTGTATATGCATTTATTCGCTGCCTTGGAGTCAGAAACAATGAATTGTATGTCAACTGTTTGTAAGTATCAGTGTAGGTGCTATATTATTTAAAAACATAGTGCATCAAGATACATTCACAATTTCAGCTCGTTTTGCAATGAATCACTGACCTTTCTTGTTGTTCCATGTTGTTGATTGGCGGTACTTCAGTTCTTTCTTGTGATGCCTGGATTTCCTCTGTTTCACTCTCATACAACAATTCTTGCTCAACTGGCTCTTCAAGTGCATTCTGGGACGTAAATTGTGAGTGAAAATTATAATTTGTAAAAAAGAGCTCGTCAGTCGAGGTTGCCAAAATGAAAATTATCCCGCGTTGTTTGATGAAACAGCGCACTTTTGACTTATGTCTGGTATCATTGTTGTGATATAGTTATTAGCATGCTTCTTTTTGCGACGAAAAGGCAATTTTTTATGAAATACTTGATGATACTCCACACTTGTTACTTTCAAACGCTTTTTTGTTGGACTATTTCTAATTGGCAAACCTTCACTGACTGGGCAATTTCCATTTAAGATTTCGTGCATTTTATTTGCGTAGTCAAGCGCTTCTTGCAAAGGTTTTAGCTCGTTGATGGTGAATGCCTGATTTCGAACAAGGCTCAACTTCTCCAGCAATAAATTTCGCGTTTGTGCAATTTCCTTTAGTTCGCAAGATTTTTCTGTCCTAATTTTGTTTTCCTTTGTTTCACGTCTTCTTTCATCCTCTTGCATTATTACGTCATAAGTATGCTCGACAATCTCTGCATTGTTCTTGTTTTCATTATCAGTCTCCTCGTGTTTTCTCTTTTTTTCATTTTCTTCTTGATTCAAGCCATTGTCCAATGCTATGAAAACGCTGTTTCCATTGTGTTGTGGGAGGGCTGTGAAATTCCATTCTTCAAAGGTATTGAAAATTGCGTACATGTGTTTACAGGGAAATTGCGTTTTTCTCAACGAATCACAGCTACACTTTGGAACACTGAGATTGATTTCATACCATTTAGTTTTGTCTGATGAGCTCCTAACGCAGAAATCACCTTTACTATTGTCGATGCAATCAACATCATTATCGCGAAATTCGCGCGATGTGAATGAACTTTTCATACAGTGCTTGATAAAGTGGGGAAGATCATCATGTGTCTATATGTGACAAAGGAAAAAAAGGACGAAGAGAAGGCTGAAAAACAGAGTAGTAGCGCAGAGAAAACAGAGCAGGTAAATGTCAGTAACGTGCATGTGAGTACAAACACAAGGGTAGCCTTGCAGACTGCGCAAGGAATTCTTGTAGGTGGGAATAGGGAGAGAGTGCGTGTGCTTTTGACTCGGGAAGTCAGAAGTCTTTCGTCATAAACAGGGCAGGACAAGATGCGAAGCTTAATGTAGCAAGGCGGGAATGGTTATAGGTCAACACTTTTGGTGGTGGAACAAATGAACTTAAGATGACAGAGGTCGTCAATTGCGAGGTCGCATCAGTTAGGGGTAATTGCAAAATTCGTTTAGAGGCATTAGTAGTTCCACGTATTTGTACGGTAAAAAATGAGCATATTGAGGTGGCTAAGGAGCAGTATTCTCATTTGAAAAATTTGTTTTTGTCAGATGTAAGTTTGAAGCAGGAGATGTTGGAAGTGGATGTTTTGATAGGAGCAGATAACCTTCGTGCTTTTCAGAAAGGAGAAATAATTAAGGGCAAAAAGGATGAGCCAGTTGCGATTGGCACTTGTTTATAATGGGTTGTAAGGGGTCCACTGAATAGGAGCTCGAAAATCAAAACGGCACATTTTAATTTAGTTTCGCAGACTGCAACGCAGAAATACAGCATAAACAGGCAGGTGAACAAGTTGTGGGATTTAGAAACACTTGGGGTCAGGGAAACTGACGATGTGCACGAAGCCTTGTTAGATAAAATTGAGTTTAATGGGCATAAGTACTCTGTTAAATTGCCGTGGAAGCAGGGTCATGGGCATTTACCAAGTAACTATGCCAATAGTTTAGCACGCATGAAAGGGCAAATTAAGCGTTTGTCAAATGAGCCTGATTTGTTAAAGGAATATGATAAAATTATCAGGATCAACTAAAAACGGGAGTCATTGAAAGGGTTGACGAGTCAGAACCGGGGATGAATGTTCATTATCTTCCCCATCAAGCGGTTATACGTAAAGAAGCCAAAACAACTAAGCTAAGAATAGTGTATGATGCATCATCAAAGGAGGGTAAGAAAGGGACTTCTTTGAATGACTGTCTTCATGTAGGACCATCATTAACACCGTTGTTGTTTGATATATTAATTAGATTTAGGGAGAACAGAGTGGCCTTGGTAGGAGACATAGAGAAAGCATTTTTGAACGTAGAAGTAGACAAAGCAGACAGGGACTATTTAAGATTTCTGTGGGTTAGAGATGCAACTAATGCTAATTTAGAGGTTGTTGTTTACAGGTTTTGCAGAGTAATGTTTGGATTAAATGCCTCGCCATTTTTACTCAACGCCACGCTTAGGCATCACATAGCGCAATTTGCAGAATCACATCCAGTGCTTGCTCAAAAATTGAATGAAGGATTTTACGCTGATGACTTAGTTTCGGGGGGCAAAAGCGCACCCGAAACGATCAATTTATAGGAAAAGGCGAAATTTAGAATGTCTCAAGGCGACTTTAAATTAAGGAAATGGATGACAAATGACAGAAGCGTGCGAGCGCATATAGAACAGCGTGAATGCGAGAACAATGTCGTGCAGGCGACAGATCTAGACGATGAAAAATTCACACAATGGAGTTTGGGAATCGAAAATAACGATGATTACACAAAAGTTTTAGGTATATGCTGGGATTGCGACAATAATCTGTTCATGTTCGACCTACAAAAGTTTGTAGTAGACTTGGGTGACAAGAAGCTAACTAGACGAAACCTGCTGAGCGCACTAGCAAAGATATTTGATCCGCTAGGATTAATTAGCTGCGTAATAGGTTTGATGAAAATCTTGTTTCAACAGTTGTGCGTAGAAAAGTGTGTGATTGGGATGACGAGATAAGCGGAAACCACGCCGGTCTATACACTGAATGGATTGAAGATCTAAACCGTGTTAAGACTATTAAGCTAAATAGATGCATCTAGTGGTGTGAAAGGCAAAATTCAATCTTTTGAACTTCACAGGTTTGGTGATGCAAGCGAGAAAGCGTATTGCGCACTAGTATATTTTGTTTATCGCACGAGTGTTGGTGTCTTTGTGAAATTGTTAACAGCAAAAACTAGAGTTGCGCCGCTGAAGAAGCTTACTATACCGCGCTTAGAACTAAACTCCGCGCTGATGTTAGCAAAGTTAATGGAATCTGTGCGGAAAGCTTTAGTAGGCCAAGTAGGGAAAATAGAAGCAAGGTACTGGTTAGATAGTATTACAGCATTATATTGGATTCAGAATCGCGGTGAGTGGAAACAGTTTGTTAGACATAGAGCAAATGAAATCCTGGCAATAACACAGAAGCAGAAGTGGGGACATTGTCCAGGAATGAAAAATCCATCCGATTTAGGAAGCAGGGTAGTGTTTGCGTCGAAGATACAAGAGCAATCACTTTGGTTGATATGGCCAAGGTGGCTGAGTAGCGTAGAAAGAGAATGGCCGCAATCAGAGGTAGGCGTGACTAGAGAGAGTAAAGTAGAAGAAAAGCGGACGGCACTATTAGTAGTAGATACTAACAAAGAAATAGGTATTCAGAATGTGATCTCTAAAGAGAGATACAGTAGGGTTGAGAAATTATTCCTTGTAACGGCATGGGTCACACGATTTGTCAAGAATTTGATCGCTAGGATCAAAGGGAAGCATGAAGATTTAACCTTCACGGAATTAGGGAGTCAGGAGATAAGTAAAGCAGAAAAACTTTGGTTGAAGGCTTCACAAGACAGGCTAAAGAAGGAGGATAAGTTCAAGCAGTTAGAGGTACAACTCAAGGTAGTAGAAGATGAGGGGTTACTAAAATGTCAGGGTAGGCTAGCAGAATCAGACTTGGAAGAGGAAACGAAGTTTCCAATCTTATTACCAAAGGAAGGTAGATTGACGGAATTAATAGTTGAGCATTGCCACAAATAGGTATATCATAGCGGAATTAGGGCAACTCTAGCAGAGATAAGGTCAAGGTTGTGGATTCCACAAGGCAGACAGAAGGTAAAATCAATTTTCAACAAATGTGTTGTGTGTAAGAAATTAGAGGGTATACCATATGATAGACCTAACAAAGCAAACCTTCCGGCATTCAGAGTAGAGCAAGCGGAATCATTTTTTAAGACAGGGGTAGATTTTGCTGGACCACTATATGTGAAGAATACATCAGGGGGGACAGACAAAGCATACATCGCATTGTTTTCCTGTTGCGTAACTAGAGCCTTACATTTAGACCTAGTTAAAGATTTGTCTGCGGATGAATTCATGAGATGTCTTAGGCGATTTTCAGCTAGAAGGAATCGATCTTCACATGAAACTGGGTTGTAAGCAGAATCTTCTAGCAAATTAATGGTGCAAAATAGTTCTTGCCAATTCTTTTTTACAATGATCACAATATTAGACTTTATTTTAACCTTTTGGAACAAATAAGTCCAGTTAAAGAACACTTTTTCAAAAAGATTGATTCTCTTTGCAATACAAAGGGTGTATAAAATTCTTCAACATTTAGGCATCACAAAATATTCCAATTTTCTGACGATGACTTTGGAATGAATTCAAAATCACAAGATGTTTACAACTTGCACTATTCAGCAGTAAATGATCCCCTAGGAGGCTGAACACAATTTAAAGGAGTTTCGTGTTCGGGATTTGCGTTGGACAGTAGGTGAAATTTGTGTAGTTTTCAAAGACTTTTTCAATATAGTCTACTAGTAAACAGTGTAAGTTCCCTTACTGCAACCAAACACGATAAATATTCGTTGCTCTGTGTCTACTTAACCATTCGTAATGGAACTGATTGATAGTACCACGTAAAGTGGAATTTCGCTGCATTGTTCTTGCTTACATGAAGTACAAATTTAGAATTTGTATTATGATTTGAGGAGTGTGGAAAGAATGGTATGATAATTGTCAGTGTTTGCTTCACAAATGAAAGGATTGCTGTTCTTTTGATACACACTGTGTATGTTCCACTATTCCAGTCGTATACAATCATCTGTATTTGTTTTTGTAGGATGCAAGGAGGCACGAAATGCCGTTGCAAAGTACAGTTTAACACCTCAATACATCGTGAATCCAGAGGTACATTTTTCTGCTTCATAACTAAGGAAACTTGTTGAAAGTGATATTCAAAGAGTACTTGGGAGAAATTTATGTTACCATGTTCGTTTTCTTAAAGCCATCGTCTCTAATTTTACTTCAAGCAGCTTTATTGATGTCTACGTTAACATGAAGGACTCCTTATGAAGGCAGAAAAATCTAATTTTTCATCCTCTCCCACCCTTTCTGCCCCTCCACCAAGTTTTGGCATTCCATTGTATATATCTTTAAAATACAACTCATTGACAACGGTCAACCAAAATGTGGCTGTTTTCTTGCGTTTCATCTCGTTATATCATTTGCAGTGAGTAATATTCTTAAGCAACGATTTTTAATTTACACAGAGTTATAGTATCCTTGTTGAATACAGTTCTCTCACCACTCCACTCTTCTCTCCTCTCAATAAGTTTTCAATAAGGAACAAAGTTCATTAAAGATTTAAATGTTTCAGTCTCACAATTTAAATTACCGGGGGGTGAATGCAAGTAACGTATGCACCTACATAAAATGTGCTATGTCTTTCAAGGGGTAGGACACCTGAGAAAGCAACGGCCCTAACCCGACTTTAACAAAATTTTACACAAATAATTCTATGAAAACGCCTATACTTCTATGTTTATGTTGTTGTCTTTACAGGATGTTGTGTTGGCCAGCGGTTGCTCTGGAGCAATCGAGATAGCATTGAACGCCCTAGTTGATCGTGGTGATAACATCCTAATTCCAAGACCTGGTTTCTCTCTTTACAAATGCATCTGTGGATCGCGGAACATTGAGACACGATTATATAAACTCATTGTAAGTTTGTACAAGTTAAAGATATTACGTTTACGTTACTGCTTACGACTAAAGACTGTTTTTATTTTGTGCTAATTATGATAATGAAGGTAAAAGACTGTTCTAATAATCATGATAATGGTGATCAAAGAATATTCTTATTATGTTCTGATTGTGATAGTGGAAATCAACGACTTTTCCAATTTATTCTTCAATGAAGTCAAACAGTCAGTAGTTCAAAGGATTCCCTACAAACTAACCTTGAGTGTTGATTTGGACTTTATGTTCAAATGAATAATGATTATTTATAATTTTCAGCCTGAAAATGGTTGGGAAGCCGATTTGGAGGATATGGCTTCACTTATTGACGAGAGAACAAAGCTTATTGTCGTTGTCAACCCATCAAATCCCTGCGGTTCTGTGTACAAAAGAGAACATTTGGAAGAAATTTTGAACAGTAAATATCTCAAGACATGTACAAGTTTTTTTCGCCGATTTGATCAACAAACTTCGTGCATTCATATTGGTCTTATTTTCTTACAGTTGCTGAAAAATACCGCGTCCCAGTTCTCTGTGATGAAGTTTACGCGAATGTCGTAAGTGTTCGTTAATTGCATGTCATGTGACGACTTTTGAATTTCCCGATGCCCTAAATTTGACCGACTTTAAATACGTTCATGTTTCAATTAATGTAAGGTCATCACGATTGTAATATTCGCTTAGACATAAACGCTTCAAATTTGTGCAACCCGAAGGTGGGTTTGGTCAGGTTATGAGTGAGGCAAGCCGCCATCTTGAAAGGTTGTAAAACTTACAAGATTTACGACCAATATCTGCTTTTCTTGATTTCATATACAGTTGCAAATTTGACAGTCGAGGTTTGGTTTTTTAATTAATTGTTTGGAATGGGTTTTGAGACATCTTTCAAGATGGCGTCCTTTCCTCACGTCGACACGGCTGTTAGACATGCAGGGGGTTGGGTTCTAAATTTTATTGGTACTGCCCGAGAAGGTGATCAGGCTTGGCAACACTGAATAAGGCTTGAACTAAATTAACTTTTTCTCACATTTCCTGCAGACATTTGGCAAAGAGCCTTTCCATAGCGTGAGAAGTTTAACAAAAAATGTTCCTGTTCTAGTTGTCGGTAGCATCGCCAAAAGGTGAGAATGCTCATTTCTATTGCATTACATCATTTTAAGGAAACCATATAAACGTTGTGTGTCAATGACAGGTTCTTGGTGCCAGGCTGGCGTATCGGATGGATTGTAATTCACGACAGAATTAATTCCTTTGGTTTTAAGGTATGAATGTATCGCTTGCACAGATGTCATAATACACTGGATAGTGCAACGGCTTATATTTCATAAGTAGTGATTGAAGCCGGGCAAATTTACTTCCGGAGCCCCAAAGTAGTGAGAATCAATATGGTGTTGTATTAGAAAATATCTGGTCAAAGCTGATATCTTGCAATTACTTGCAAGTCACGACGATTACATAAACTGGTTTACTCTAATAATGAAAAAAATCAATGGGACCATAGTTTTTTAAGAAAAAGATAGCAGAATACGCCAATACATCGCTGTAAAATTGATTTCAAGAGTGGCTCGATTTGAAAGCATCAGCAGCGACGAGGGCTTAAGCTCTGGGATTTGCACAACTAAATATCATATCACAGCACAATGTGCCACAAAATGTTCAACCGAACATCGTGAATTATCTTCCGATATTTATTGTTAAGTAAAACGAGTTGGAGATTACAGTTTGAAAGATTTTTCACGATTTATATAAAGTATTAAATAATTTTAGCTGATGAAATGGTGGTTTTACAATGTTTTTAACCAGATAATTGTTGCAGAAATATGATGAAACAAGTCATAGACAATATAGAGATCAGCTTGTTGAATTGGCGCGAAAGATAGAGATATACATATTTCGTACTTTAGTCTGAGGTTTGCAAAATATCAAAGCTAATAGCATATAGTGCAAAAAAAGGATTATACATCTTTAAAAAATGCCAGACAATCGTGGCACTCAATGCTGCGCTTATGGCTGTACAAAATGCAAGAAAAAAATTAATGAGGAAGACGACGAGCTCAATCGTAGCAGCAGCGAAGGGCCATCTGACGACGAAACCTCCATTAAAAGACAGTTTCCACGAACGTTTCATCGCTAAGCTCTTTAACGTTCACATGAATAGCACTGACAAAGTTAATTTTGGGAGGGCAAAAGGCAATTACTTAATTATTTCTGATCTTAATTACTTTATATGCACACAAATTTACTTAGAATAATTGTAATGAGAGGTTGTCCCCACACCTCCCTACAACGGTGTTTATGCATGTAGTGCACTTTTTCTACATTTGTACTTGATAAACGGTAAAATAGCCACGATTTTTACTTTTGACAAGATTCCCTGCTGATCTTGAAAGAAGAAAGGTATGGATTAAAATATACACAGAGAACGTTGGACACCTAGCGCGACAAGCAGGCTGTGTTCAGATCACTTTCTGGAAAGCTGTTTTGACAGATCTGGAAAAGTTGTTAAGTTGCAAAAGATGCTGTTCCAACTCGTTTTAAACTCTTTCCACAACATATGAAAAGGTGAATAACAATTAAAGAAATATTTAGGATAATAGTTTTAGAAACAAAGATTGGAAAAAAATGATTATTTAAAAGTTGCATAACTATATACATGTAATTGTTCACACTGAGTTGCACACTGTAGCTAAAATTAGTTCTGCCTGCTACACGATATGCATGCATCGTACATCAACATGATAAAACCAATTAAGATCAGTTCGACTGTCTGCAAGATCAAAAATTTCACCAACGTATTCAGAAAACATTTAAATCTGTTAGACCACCACGACGAGAAAGCGACCTCTAATTAGGACTGTCGAGAGTGACGATGACGATCCTCCTGAGAAGAAGACAATGGTTGACGACCATGAAATAGAAGAAATGAAGAATATTTATCAGCAAAAGGTTTCAAACCTTAAAAAGAAACTTAAGTCGACCCAAGAAAAAGCAAGACGCCTTAACAAAAAAGTTACCTTACTGACGTCAGTTATAAAGCAGCTAAAAGAAAAGAATCTGATTTCCTCGTCTTGCGAAGAAATGCTGGAAAAAAATATAGCTGGTGTTTCAACAGAGCTATACAAAAAAATGATGTCAAAGACACGCCAAGGATGCAAGTACTCACCAGAACTTACGTCATTTGCATTAACTCTTCAGTTTTATTCGTCGAAAGCTTACGATTTTGTGCGCAAAACATTCAATTTAGCTTTATCTCATCCAATACAAATTCGTAAATGGTATACGAAGGTCCCTGCTGAAGCAGGATTTACACAGCCATCATTTGAAGCTTTTTTCCTTGAAAGTAAAAAATGAAGAGAAGTTAGAGTGTTCCTTAATGATCGATAAAATGGCTTTAGAAATCATGCATCATGGTATGGCAAGAAATTTCGTCGCTTTGTTGATCTCGGAAACGACGATGAAGCTGATGATTCTTCTCTTGTTGCAAAGGACGCTCTAATTTTTATGGCAGTTTGCTTGAAACAAACGTGGAAAGTTCCAATAGCCTACTTCTTTATTGATGGACTGAGCGGTGAAGAGCGCGCAAATTTGGTTGAGCTGTGCATCCAGAAACTTCACGATATCGGTGTTGATGGGATTTCTTTTGTATGTGATGGGCCATCCTGCCATTTCGCTATGTTACGAGCTCTTGCAGCAAGTATGACACCACCTCAACTACACCCATATTTCATCCATCCATCAGATAAAAACAGGAGAGGTTATGTGTTCCTTCATATTTGCCACATGATCAAGCTTATTAGGAGCACGCTGGGAGATGGCAAAATATTAGTTGATGTAGATGGTCAAAGAATATGTTGGGAGTATATTACAGAATTACAAAAGCTCCAGGATAACGAAGGCTTGAAACAAGTTGAAGAAAGTACATATAAAATGGTGGCAGCAGAAAATGAAAGTAAATTTGGCTGCCCAAACACTAAGTTCCAGGGTTTCTGTTGCAATAGAATACTGCACAAACACTCTTAAACTTCCACAATTTCAAGGATAAGAAGCCACTGTCTACTTTATTTGCCTACACACAAGACTACACACAAAGCTAACCTACACACAAGACTAACCCAACATGCCACTAATTATAATTCTAGTGCTATCTCACAACATTTACTCATGTGTCCTGACGCCAACTACATCTCACACCTTTTCTCACTTCCTGACGCTGACTCCGACCCCGATCTCACACGCGTGCCACTTAATCATTGTAATTTGTATCCAAGTAACACCAAAATCTTATATCGTAGTAAAAATAATAATCCTAATCAACTTCTCATCTTAGAAGCACTTTTGATAAAACGCGTTATGCCACAACTTAATAGTGGTCTTAAAGCTTGTAAGAAACTATCTCTATTTTAATGTTATTATATTTTAGTCTTATAGTTCTCTAATTACATAACTGTCATTTCCGCTTGTAAATATTATATAAACGTTTCGCAGCCTGCATTGTAAACTATTAATCTGATGATGTCTTGGAAATAAAGACGAAATATTACACCATCTTTTGTTTCAAACTCTTGTATTATCTTGAATATCAAGAAAACGAGATGTCCCTTTTCGGAATTTGTTTTATTTTGTATTACTTGAAATTGTCTGCTTGTCCTGGTCATTTGTAGTAAATAATGTTTCCATAATTTCGTAAAAGCACTATTGCTAATGCGCATTTAATATACACGACGACTTTTTTTAGAATAGAAGATGACATTATGACATGACGAATCAAACCCTTATACCAAGTCATCGTAATCACCTTTTTGGGATTAGATGGGATAAATGCCTTTCTCTAATCTCTAAGTTAACACTGTCCTCACACAAGCTCTGCAATTAAAAGTCGGGCGAGGGGGAGCTTACATGCTTTAGTTTGATGTTCATTTATCAATCATTTTGTTTTTATGTCCAGAATATTGTTATTTGTCAATGGCCATTTTTATATTAGAGACGTTTAATGCTTCTGGATGAACTTGGGCAAGAAATTTTTGTTCGTATGGTTATGCGTCTTCAGTGTAAAGACGGCACAAGACGCATTATACGTCACGACTAATAATCAATGGTTATGCGTCTTTAGTGTAAAGACGGGCACAAGACGCATTATACGTCACGACGAATAATCAATGGTTATGCGTCTTCAGTGTAAAGACGGGCACAAGACGCATTATACGTCACGACGAATAATCAATGGTTATGCGTCTTCAGTGTAAAGACGGGCACAAGACGCATTATACGTCACGACGAATAATAAATGGTTATGCGTCTTCAGTGTAAAGACGGGCACAAGACGCATTATACGTCACGACGAATAATCAATGGTTATGCGTCTTCAGTGTAAAGACGGACACAAGACGCATTATACGTCACGACGAATAATCAATGTTTATGCGTCTTCAGTGTAAAGACGGACACAAGACGCATTATACGTCACGACGAATAATCAATGGTTATTCGTGTCTGTAGACAAAGAATCGAACATAGGTCGTCTAGTCGTATAATGCGTCAGTCTGTATAAACACGGCACTTAGACGAATAACTAAATAAAGTGAGAGAGATTATTCTCCAAAAATCAATAAGTTTTTCTCGTAATTATCAAGTTGTTCATCTGATACTTCATTGTGCTTACAATTTGTTAACATGACACAGCGATTGATCGCAAACCTTTCTGGTAAGCTTGTGCTTTGTAGGTATGTCACATGTCTATGGATGACAGCATTCTTTAAACCAATGAAATTGGTATAATAGTTAATTCATATTACAACTTCAAAAGGCAGATCTATGAAACAGTAGAAAAAGATTATTTATCTTGGTTATAAATCAGCTATTACTAATTATGCAAGTGACTCGTAAAGTGTACATACAACCAAACACTGTGTACATCAAACATACTCTATATTGCTCAATGAATAATCAGTAATAGCATTCGTTTTCACATGACTTTCTTCGTTGCTAAGATTATTTGACTGTAGATAACCTTTGCTTTTCTCTGTAGTGACAATATAATCAAGTAGAAATTTCTTCTCGCCAGGCTTTCTCGATTGTTTAATTTCATCTTGACATGAATTTTGTACTTATGTTTCGCAGACCGGTGAGAGATGACGTCATATCATGGTGGATCTTCCAGATTAAGAGATCGATAAGGCAGTTCGTTCTTCGCCTTAGCACAATCAAGATTCAAAATGAATTCTCAAAGCTACAATACATTTTATAAAAAAAGAAAAAACTGACATCTTTGTTGCCGGCGCCAAGCATTAAAAAATAAATATTAAAGCATCCTGAAACGAAGAATATAAAAATCAGATTTAATGATTAGGATTTCAACTTTTAAGTCCGAACGCTATTTTTAAGTATCTCTGATCATTGAGATGTGACAAAATTAACCTTCTTACCTAGTATCAGTCGTCAAAAATCTTTATTGGAAAAGTTGTCGTTCATAATCTTAATTTATTTGAGCTATCTTATTGGTAAAAATGGTATTACATATTTTGTCTGGCTGCCTCAACTTTGCGTTTATTAATAGTTTAGTTTTCCAGAACATTTCAATAATTCAAATAAATATATGTAAACTGTGTATAAGGTGCATATATAAACTGTGTATTGATTTTCTTAACTTCCTAAATTATAAATCTTTAATTTTTGAGCTATCTTACTTGTAAAAGGCTGGCTGCCCCGTCTTCCTTTATGGTTATTTCAGTTAGTTTTCATGTAATTCAGGATGTTCAATAATTGAAATAAGTAATAGTAAATTGTGAAAGGTTTATTGGCATAAAGCCTCCAAGTCAAAACTTCTTTGTGTTTAATTCAGTCATAGCTAAAATAAGAAACTTGCATTTCATATTCTATTGGGTGTGAACAGAATTCAATATTTTACAATAAAAACAGCAGGTGATTAAATTCAAGCATTTATTTAACATTCCAATTTCTTTATTATCAAGCAAAAGCAAACACATCAAGTAGTTGGTTCCGTCGTTATTAATCTTTCTGAATTTGTGAAGGTATGTTGACTATAAAGTTCACCCATCATAGTGTTATTGTTTGTTCTTATGTCTAGAATTTTGTTATATTTGTCACAAAAACATGAATGTATTTGTGATGGAATTCACACTTCATATGTTTTATATTGATACGTCTGTTGATTTTGGTGGGATTTTCCAAATAACACATTGGATAATTTTTCATTTCAAAATACTGACATTTCTTGCGTTGTCAAAAACAATTAATTTCATTAGTCTTTTCAAATATCATTGGTACGGCAGGGCAAAAATCAACAAGATGAATAAAAATTATGACACGTCACAGAATTTCAGTTATGCATACATTATGTGAAATAATTTTAATTTTATCTAACATGGCTTTTATAAAGAAGAATTTTTTCCTCATTCATATAGTCATCTATCTTTTTATCTTATTCCTAACACAGATGACGACATAAAAACGTTTTACTAAGTATGTCTTTAGAAATTGCGCATACTTGGGATGAAAAGCTCATTTGTTCAAGTGATAGTACACGTGATTTTTTTCTGGTGTATAATTGTTCAACTTGTTGTAAGATAGACTATTTAAAATATTTGTTTGCGTCTAAAGTTCACAAAATTGACAAAACTTTGCATGATAAACTGTCAAGTCCAAACGCTATCAATTTTGAAGTATCTCTGATTACTGAGATGTGACAAAATTATTCTAAATTAGAGACTTCGAGATTAATTACTCTGATATTCCCATTTTAAATAAAGACTGCCCCTAAAATCTTGAGCCCCACAACTTTTACTTGCTTCTCACGCCCCTGATCAGATTATTTGTTTATCTTGTAAAAAGTTTACATTGACCATGTTTCAAAGTTGGAACGCTGACAATTTTAAAGAAGCTCTGGTTATGGATTTTCTTAACTTCCTTAATTATAAATCTTTAATTTTTGAGCTATCTTATTTGTAAAAGGCTGGCTGCCCCGTCTTTCTTTAAGATTATTTCAGTTAGTTTGTATGTAAGCCAGGATGTTCAATAATTGAACTAAATAATAGTAAATTGTGAAAGGTTTATTGGCATAAAGCTTCCAAGTCAAAACTTCTTTGAGTTTACTTCAGTCATAGCTAAAATAAGAAACTTGCATTTCATATTCTATTGGGTGTGAACAGAATTCAATATTATACAATAAAAACAGCAGGTGATTAAATTCAAGCATTATTTAACATTCCAATTTCTTTATTATCAGGCAAAAGCAAACACATCATATAATTGGTTCCGTCGTTATTAATCTTTCTAAATTTGTGAAGGTATGTTGATTTTAAAAATTACTCGCGTTTAAGTAACAGTGTATTTTAACCTTCTGATTTGATGTTTTGTGTCCATGTATCAATTGTTTTGTTTTGATGTACCGAATATTGTAGTTAAATATAACTTATAAATTAGTGCCACGTATGTTTCATATGGATAAAATTTCTTCATTTTGGTGAAAATTTCAAACACAAATAAATTTTGGATACATTGCACGAAGGAAATACGACCTTTCTCACATCAATACCAATTTGTTCTATCGTTTATTTCAAATTAAATTGATACAGCAAAGTTACAAAATTAACGTGTTGAGTCAAAATTATGACACGTCACAGAATTTCAGTTATGCATATCATTATGTGCAATAATTTTAATTTTATATAACATGACTTTTATAAAGAAGAGTTTTTCCTCATTCATTAAAATTTCAATGATGTGCTATGGAAGTTTAAACATATAAGTTTCTGCGTGGTCTTTTTTAGAATACTGCTTTAGTAAATGTGACTAATTAATATCTCACATAGTGAATTAAATTGAACCTATTGAACATTCTTAGACGCAGCATGAACATTGAAATTTTTGGTTACTTTTTTAATTATTTTACCGTCAATTACTGACAAAGCCATTTTAAGGTTTTTATGTATCGTAATATGCTAGTTTGGAAATCTTTGCACTGTATGATTTTGTTACTAAAAAGCCAATGACCATCTATCTTGTAAAAATTTACTCACTATTTTTTAAAAAAAGAGTTGTCAAAAATGAGTACGGCAAGGTTAGTACTCCAGTCCATTATGAAGTTCAATAAACCACAATCCCCTGCCTTTTTTGCGCACTCTTTTAGTCATACTAAAAATTAGCTAATAAATGGCCATAATTTTTCTACTGCCAGGCAATTTTGATCAAAATTTTGTAATGCTGTAAAATACAAAAACCGATTCCTTCAAAAAAACACTGTTCAAAACAAGTGTTCATTTTCTCTCTTTTCTTTAGAAAAAGCCAAGTTTATTACTTAGTAATATTAATTAGCTGTGTCGAGAGCTTACATCCTTCGTTTTCCTTACTTAGTCACGTGTTTCTTCCTTTCGTGACACCCGCGCGTGAATGAAGTGTAGAAGAGATTTTATCGGTTCGTGGACTAAGCGTTGCTCATTATCATACGTGTAAATTTCGCTAATTTGCTTAAAACCGTTTTCCGCTGTCGTACTTATTTCAATTATTCAATCTGTGATTGCAAAGAAGGGGGAATTCGGGTTTTTTCACTTTTCATTATTTCTGTTACAACAAGAAGATTAAAAGAGGTCTGTGTTTTGCGAGCAACTTCAGACACCAATAATCCATGAATACAAAGACAAACAGATATTTGAGAAAGGTGAATGAAATAGTTTCTTACGACTTAATTCTTATGTCGTCATATAAATTTTCAATCAATATTATAGATTCGCTATTTTTCCTTTTTGTGAAAAACCAACATTATAAAGACAAAACGCAATGTAACAAGTATATACGAAAGCAAATTTGTGACACGAAATTGTCTTTATTTGAGCAATTTTTAATTACTTAACGCATTTGGTCAGAGCAAATTGTTCTTTCTCTTCTTTATTCGTTCATTATGACTTTTTTTTATCAACATTATTAGTTTAAAGTGAATGGTTTGAACCCAGAAGTATCGTTGCATGTTTGTAGATGTACATTGTTTAGGTTAGTAGAGCCTTAAAGCCCGCCGCACACTAGCGTACTTGCCGCGCGTACTTGTTATTCGTGACAAGTTGGATCGACAAAAATTCCTAGTGTGCGCGGAAGTTTCGAACAACATTTGTCATTCGTGACAGATATTCCAAATATCAAACATGTTTGATATTTTTTGTCACGAGTAACAAAAATCCCAAGTGTGCGGCCTACGAAAAGCAAGTCCTCCTACAATGATGACACTACGCATGCGCACATTAAATTAATGTAAACACAATATGGCGGATAGCAGTGATGGCAGTGACACTAATATCAGTGACACCAACACAGATAGCAATAATGATAGTTCCTCAGAAGACGAAAAAGTTTTGCTATTGATTTTATTGTTGAGAAAGCGACGGAGACGTTTGAGAGCTGTACATCGTAAGTTGTGGACAAAGCGATGGATTCAAAGAAGACAATCGCAAGGAGTATTTAACAATGTCGTTCGAGAATTAAATGCAGAGGATCCAGAGAAATTTCGACAATTCCATCGACTTGATCGGGACTGCTTTGATAATATCTTACAATTGGTTCTGCCTTACTTTACTAAGATGGATACACACTTGAGACCAGCAGTGAAACCTTGCGAGCGTCTATCTGTAACTTTGCGTTTCCTCGCCACAGGTTCGAACTGAGGAAATATATTATCTTTTTGTTCAATTCATTCCAGTACATGAGCAACTTATTATTTATGTTATTTTAACTTAGGAGAAACATTCAGGAGTTTGTCATTCCAGTTTCGTATCGGTGAACGAACAATTTCTGAAATTGTGGAAGAGACATGCCAAGCTCTGTATATGTCTCTAAAACAACAATATTTGAAGGTAATAAAAGTTTTAAAGGACACATGCAAGCTAGAAGACAACTTTATTTTATTGTAATGCCTATAGCGTGAAAATAAGACGTACCAAGTTTCAAAGTCGTCCGCGATATATTTAAAAAGATATTTAGGGTTATAATCGGTAAAAACATGATATTCGATGACCATTGCTAAAACGCCGTGAGATTTTTTAAGTCTGGGAACTGGGAAAGAGTGACGTATTAGTTGACATAAACAAGCATCGTTCTTATATCATTCTACGACTTGCACGCAATTCTTGCACGGCTTTCGGTAGTTTGCTATTACTGTTTTTTATTTAACAAAAATTAATGGATTCTTCTGAAGAAGAAATCGATTATGATATTGTCGTCAATAACAATGAGGTACAACCTTACATGTTTGAGCCTTTGACCAACGCGCAAGGTGGTCAATAGTAATGAATACAATTCAATACAATTCTTCGTCATCGGAAAGCGAAGATAAGTACATTCACAGAATTGGAAATGTTGAATGGTTAGTTGCATTTTATTGATGCTTCATTGTTTTTCCCAAAGTAGAAAGAATGTTTTTATCTTTTAGGTGCGAGTGTGGCTTTTGTATGGTCATGAGTACAGGACGGGAAAGTATATGTTGCCAAGAGGTAAACAACACTGATCCATGGCGATCATATTTGCATCACACAACAGGAAGAGTTTGCCACAGTATGTACAAACGAAGCTGTCTTAAAAACAGCTATGGTCGTGTACACACATGACATTGGACCTATGCCTGAGAGTGAAGAAAACGAGTAAATATTACCTTAGAAGTGTAATTACGTGTATGTCGACAAGTGTATAATGCCGATAAGTATCTTAGACAAAATTTTGTATCGTTCAGAGCATTACGCTACACGGCGTACCGACAGTGGCACGGCTTGGGTGGACGGCTTGGTTGCATTGTCATTGTCGGATTCTTCATTTTCGCTTAACTCATTTGAACATTGAGAGTCTGATCCATTGTAGCTATTGCTCATCGTCGACGTGCTTTCTGTATCAGACCATACAGCGCTATCCTCAAAATGTTCAATTTCACATGACGTCGTCTGTGTGCTGTGATTTTTTGTTGAAATGAACTCAACCTCCGTACCTTAGCATAAAATTATCGTATTGATTTTTCACAAAAATCAAAACGGCCGGAATGGAAAGTCTATACCTCTACTTATCACATTTGGCACTTTTGTTTGAGTGGTTCTTGACCTTACGTGTTTTTGCGGACGGATTGTTATGGCTGCTTGGCATTTCACATTGCGCTTCTAAGGTACGTTAAGAATTTTTTATGAGTTAAAATAACAAAGAAAAGATCAAACGACATTAGTCTGAATTAGTTACCACTGTATATGTTTGTGTTTCGCTGTCTACATATATTTTGACATCATTCATCTTAGACAAACTTCCTTTGAGGTAAAACGCACAAACATTTCGAGCCGATGTCGACACATCGTGGTCGTCGTCTACAAGAAAGTCGTCATGTTCTGCAAGAACGTCGTCAATAATCTAAAATTATAAAATTGTCTTCAATTTGGTAATGCTATATAGCTTAGTTTTTGATAAATGTAAACAAATATTGCTAACTATAACTATAATATTCACCTCTTGCCTTCGTCTCTTCTCAAATGCAGCTCTAACATTTGTTGGCTGCTTCCTTTTAGATGCTACACTTTTGGGTTCCACAGAGTATTCAAAAATCGTGGGTACAGCATCCTTCTTAAGGCGAAGCCGTCCTGCTGTCCATCCTACTGATTGCATCGCTTCAAAATTTTGCACGAAGCACGAACTCGAAATGTTGCGAGCACAATTTTGAGCTCTTTGTTGGCTTCCAATTTTGCGTCGGATTTTTCAATCCAAATATCTCGCATGCGCTTGTTTTCTTTGCTGCGTTTCGTGGTTCTTAGAAGAACCGTTTTTACAATTAAATGCGGCACAATAATCCATATTTTCAATGCTAAATTGTCGTGTTGTTAAGAAGTTACCAATATATTTTGAACGAAGCGCGCAATTGACCGCGTTTAGCGAATGTCAACTATTACGTCACAACGACATCGGTAGCTGTCGCTAGCTCGTCGGGCATTTTTCAATACGTTATCATTAAAGCATCAACTTTAAACCTCCATATCTTCAAAAGTATTTATCCTTTGAGTCTCAAACTTTGGTGAACTATTAGTTGGAGCTATACCTTCATGTAAAGTATAAAAATAACAATCCGAATTTTATGTTGCATGTGTCCTTTAATAGGCAATATATTGAACATGTCACTTTGAAATAAACTTTAGACAAGTTATGTTTAGATAATACAAATATGTTTACAAATGGTTGTCAAGTGTTGTGTTGTTCAATGTTCATGTACATTGGATGGAGACTGAATAGAAGGAGAAGAAAACTGAAACTGCCTAGTGTTGTCTGCAACTTGTGGAGTTGGATGGAATCCAGTGTGCTGTCTTGGGAATGGGAGACTGTAATGTTGATTATTCAGTTGAGATTGAAATCTTGAAACTATATCATCAACTTTGGATCTATTTGTTGGGTGGTTTAATGGCCAAAAAGTTTGATCTTGTGAAGAAGTAGGTGTTGCCATTCCAAAAGTCTACCTAGTCAAAAGCTCTCCACTTTGTGCTTGGAACAAAATGTTATTGATGTGATGTTGAGCCACAAAACGTACTTTGGGTTCTAGTTCTGCTAATGTGTAGGATACATATCGACGAAAAGTATCCGTTTGGTTCTTTCGTTTATTGTCAGTTTTTAGTTTCTTATTTTGCTTTTCTGACATTGACTTAGCCGGTCCTTTGATGAGATGGTATTCTTCTTCTGCTTCTTTTCTACTATTTTAACTGAAATGGCTCTTTAGTTGATCTTGTTAAGGAATGTCAATCTCATCCCTCCAAAGGAGTTGGACTTGGTGTTTCTATATTAGCTTGATAAGACATGTTATCATCAGCAACACTTTTTCTATCAGGTTGATCAATTATGCTAGTATCTGATGGAGAGTCACAGTCTCTAAAATGTTTTATGAAAATATAATTTAAATGTTATTTTTAGACTCCAACTTCTGCTAATGAATGGTTAGAAATATCGAAAGATTTTGAAAGGAAGTGGAACTATCCGTTTTGTATTGGGGCACTTTATGGGAAGCATATTGCCATACAACAGCCTGTTTCAAGTGGTTCAGAATTTTTAACTACAAACATTTCTTTTAGTGTATTGCTAGTGGCTCTTGTTGATGCTAACTATAAGTTTTATACGTGAGTGTTGGTGCCTCAGGGCGGGCTGGAGATAGTGGTGTGTACAACGAATCAACTCTGAAAAAGCATTGGATCAGAACACTCTAGATTCTGGCACTACCTGTCCTCTTCAACCAAATTCAGTATGTAAAGTACATTATATTGTTGCAGATGATGCTTTTTCCATGAGCAAAGCATTAATGAAGCCCTATCCTCATAGTGGTGGAAAATGCTTTTGGAATTTTTGCTCATAGGTGGCGTGTGTTTCTTACAACATTACGATTAAGTAAATGGTTTGAACCCGGGAGTATCGTTATATGTTTGTAAATGATGATCGTCCAGGTTAATAAAGTCCTGAGAAGGACTGTTTTTGATGTTGTTGACTGACGTTTCGACAACCTTAGCGGTAGTCATCTTCAGAGTCAAATGAGGAGTAAACGTCAGGTTAGCCGTATTTGTTGTCTGGTTCTTACGTCATTGTATTGTGTGTACAGGAAATGCAGGAAATGTGTATTGTCATTGTGGATTAGTGTGAAGTGAAATATTTTATTTTAGTTGTGATGTGTGATTTAGGTGTGACGTTTTAGTAGTTGTGAGGGTGTCAATTGTGTATTGTCATTGTGAATTAGTTTGAAGTGTAATGTTTTTAGTTGATCGTTTGTTTGTATTGTGAATAAGTCGTTTGTAAGGTGCCGATAATTGCTGTGATCTGTTCAGGGGGGTTTGTTCCAAGTTGGTATACCAACTTTCTAATGTAAGCCGTTGTCTATAGTCAGTACTGTAAGTGATGCATTTTGCCGAGTCCCAGTCAATGTTGTGCTTTGTGATTCGGTGATGTTCGGCAATGTGATTAGTTTTGTCTTGTTTCTTAGTAGCTCGTTTGTGCTCAGTAAGTCTTATGTTTAAGTTCCTGCCAGTTTCCGATATAGAGGGTGGCAGTCGGAGCAGTTTATTTTGTAAACTGCACCTTGTCGTTCGTTGGGTTGTTCTTTGTCCTTTATGTTCGTTAGTACTTGTCGTAATGTTGTGATTGGTTTATGTGCGACACGTATGTTGTATGGTCGTAAGATACGCGAGATAGTCTCAGACGTACCTTTGATGTAAGGTATCGTTGCTGTTGTCACTGAGTTGTTCGTTTCGTTGGGTTTTGGGTTTGTAAGTGTTGCGTTTGATAAAGTCAGAGTTATAGTTGTTTTGTCAAAACACGTTTGAGATAGTTGTTTTCGTTTTGTAGAGCGTCCGGTGAATCACATATGATTTGTGCACGTCTTGTTAATGTTCTGATTGTGGTGGCTTTGTGTGATGTAGGGTTGTAAGATGATTGGTCTAGTAGTCGGTCAGTATGTGTTGGCTTGCGATAAACTGTTGTTCCTAGTTTTTGATTGTCATGTTTTACCAAACAGTCGAGAAAAGGAAGAGTTCCGTTTTCTTCGACATCTTTGGTAAATTGTATGGCTGTTCTGTTTGTTGATGTGAGTATGGAAGTCATCAATCTCGTCTGCATGTAGTGCTGTGATTGTGTCATCTACGTAGCGAAACCAAAAAGGTAGTGCATGTTTGTAAGTCATGAGTGCCCGTTCCTCTATAGATTGCATTACAATTTCAGCAACTACAACAGAAACGGGCGAGCCCATTGCTGTCCCAAGTAATTGTTTGTAGTGTGTTCCTTTGTATTGGAAGTAAGTCGAGGTGAGGCAGAGCTCTAGTAACTCCATAATGTCTTCTGTCGGTAATGGCAGTACGTCCATGGTGTTTGTAATGAGGGTTTTTGTACAAGTAAGTGCCAGATTAAGTGGAATACTGGTGAACAAAATGGACGCACTTGTTAACGACAGACAAACGTACGAACAACTCAAACGAGACCCAACACCATCACTAGTACGCAAACTTAACAGCAAGATCTTCTCTATGAGAAAATCTAACATTATATCTGAACGTATTTACTATCGACTCAGATGTTCAGTACCACGACCACCCAGACTATACGGACTACCAAAACTTCACAAACCACAAATACCCATGCGACCAATTGTATCATTCTGTGGTTCGCCTACTTACGAACTTTCAAAGTACTTGACCAACATACTGCAACCACTTACAAACAAATCAAAACACAAGCTATAATCCACTGAAACTTTCATTAAAAAACTGTGCAATATACAAATACCAGACAACTATATACTAGTGTCTTTTGATGTGAAATCACTGTTCACCAGTATTCAACTTAATCTGGCACTTACTTGTACAAAAACCCTCATTACAAACACCATGGACGTACTGCCATTACCGACAGAAGACATTATGGAGTTACTAGAGCTCTGCCTCACCTCGACTTACTTCCAATACAAAGGAACACACTACAAACAATTACTTGGGACAGCAATGGGCTCGCCCGTTTCTGTTGTAGTTGCTAAAATTGTAATGCAATCTATAGAGGAACGGGCACTCATGACTTACAAACATGCACTACCTTTTTGGTTTCGCTACGTAGATGACACAATCACAGCACTACATGCAGACGAGATTGATGACTTCCATACTCACATCAACAAACAGAACAGCCACATACAATTTACCAAAGATGTCGAAGAAAACGGAACTCTTCCTTTTCTCGACTGTTTGTAAAACATGACAATCAAAAACTAGGAACAACAGTTTATCGCAAGCCAACACATACTGACCGACTACTAGACCAATCATCTTACAACCCTACATCACACAAAGCCACCACAATCAGAACATTAACAAGACGTGCACAAATCATATGTGATTCACCGGACGCTCTACAAACGAAAACAACTATCTCAAACGTGTTTTGACAAAACAACTATAACTCTGACTTTATCAAACGCAACACTTACAAACCCAACGAACCCAACGAAACGAACAACTCAGTGACAACAGCAACGATACCTTACATCAAAGGTACGTCTGAGACTATCTCGCGTATCTTACGACCATACAACATACGTGTCGCACATAAACCAATCACAACATTACGACAAGTACTAACGAACATAAAGGACAAAGAACAACCGAACGACAAGGTGCAGTTTACAAAATAAACTGCTCCGACTGCCACGCCTCCTATATCGGGGAAACTGGCAGGAACTTAAACATAAGACTTACTGAGCACAAACGAGCTACTAAGAAACAAGACAAAACTAATCACATTGCCGAACATCACCGAATCACAAAGCACAACATTGACTGGGACTCGGCAAAATGCATCACTTACAGTACTGACTATAGACAACGGCTTACATTAGAAAGTTGGTATACCAACTTGGAACAAACCCCCCTGAACAGATCACAGCAATTATCGGCACCTTACAAACGACTTATTCACAATACAAACAAACGATCAACTAAAAACATTACACTTCAAACTAATTCACAATGACAATACACAATTGACACCCTCACACTACAACTGAAAACGTCACACCTAAATCACACATCACAACTAAAAATAAAATATTTCACTTCACACTAATCCACAATGACAATACACATTTCCTGCACATTTCCTGTACACACAATACAATGACGTAAGAACCAGACAACAAATACGGCTAACCTGACGTTTACTCCTCATTTGACTCTGAAGATGACTACCGCTAAGGTTGTCGAAACGTCAGTCAACAACATCAAAAACAGTCCTTCTCAGGACTTTATTAACCTGGACGATCATCATTTACAAACACATTACGATTAAGTCCAAAGAAGGTTACACAGTTGATTTTAGCAGCCTGCTGTCTGCACAACTACTTAGTGGAAAAACAAAAATCAACATACACAGCAGCTGCAGATGTTGAAAACAGAGACCATAGCATTTCAAATGGGCCATGGAGAGGTGATCCATGCTTAGCTAGTTTAAACAAATTTAATTCAGATAGGAACCCATCAAGAAATGCTAAAACACAACGTGAGTATCTGACCACATTCTTTAATGGCAATGGCTCAGTCCCATGGCAGGATCTTATGATCAAATGAACAGTTTAGATGCAGACTTTTTAATGCATTCCAGGTTAATATTGGTTATTGTTAAATTAAATATTTAAATTAAAAATAAATATTTCATGATATTAAAATAAAACTTTTCATCTCTCCCTGTTTCTCATCAACATCTAAATGGACATAAACAGGAACAATATGCACTAATACATAAATTCATGTATCTGATTTACATGTTGATGATCCATAAATTTTTCTACTTTCCTTTTTACAGATTTTCTAGCACAAAAATATATGCCATATAGTATCAATGAGAAAATTTGGCAACATGTAACCAAACAATTTGATGTGTCTAATTTAATGCTTGCACAAATGCTACTTACAGAATCCATATTGGATATAGGGACTCTTGTTGCAATGTAAGGTGCCAGAAACTGCAGCTTTTCCAACAACCAGGTTCCTCTCTTTGTCGGATTTTTCCGTGCACTTCCACTTGGAGCAATCTTTTTAGCCCTTGTATAACTGTTCCTGAGGGACTTCAGCTTAGCTTTTACCCATTCAACTGCAATATACAGATGATATAATATAAGGGGAATACAGCACATGGCAAAGATTCATAACTTACCAGTTTGTCCTAACTTTTCTGCAATATTTTGATAAGCTTTCTCGCGTGCATCACGGTTCTGGAAGTCGGACGATCGCACATCGTATAAACACCGATAATCTGGCCAGATATCAACCAACTGGTCTTCTAAGATAGCTTCCGTAACAATTTCACTACATTCGTTCTGATTTAACGTGTCAATGCTATCCGCCATATTGTGTTTACATTAATTTAATATGCGCATGCGTAGTGTCATTTTGTAGGAGGACTTGCTTTTCGTCGGCCGCACACTTGGGATTTTTGTTACTCGTGACAAAAAATATCAAACATGTTTGATATTTGGAATATCTGTCACGAATGACAAATGTTGTTCGAAACTTCCGCGCACACTAGGAATTTTTGTCGATCCGACTTGTCACGAATAACAAGTACGCGCGGCAAGTACGCTAGTGTGCGGCGGGCTTTAGAAAGACTGCTGTTGCTGATGTTGAATGACCTTTCGACAACATTAGCGGTAGTCATCTTCAGATCGAGTCAAGTGAGGAGTCAGGTTAGCGGTATTTGTTGTCTTGCTCATACGTCATCGTATTGTCTGTAAAGGAAATGTGTGGGTATCAATTGTGTATTGTCATCTGAAAGTAATGTTTGAGGTTGTGAATAGATCGTTTTCGTAAAGTGCGGTAATTGTTGTGATCTGATCATTGGATTTGTTCTAAGTTGGTATACCAACTTTCTAAAGTAAAGCCCCCATTGTCTGTAGTCAGTGCTGTAGTCCCCCACTCATTCTAAATGTCACACTGTAATCTCCCGCTTACCCTATGCCACTAAAGCGTTTGATATCTGACTCATCTGTCACGAATGACAAATGTTGTTCAAAACTTCCGCGCACACTAGGAAATTTTGTCGATCACACTTGTCACGAATAACAAGTACGCGTGGCAAGTTTACCAGTGTGCGGCTGGCTTAAGCTTCCATTGTCTGTAGTCAGTGCTGTAAGTAATGCATTTTACCGAGTCCAGTTGATTGTTGTGTTTTGTCAGTTGGTGATGTTCAGTAACGTTTAAGTTCCTATCAGTCACACCGAAGTATAAGACGTGGCAATCAGAGCAGTTTATTCTGTAAACTGCACCTTAGCGCTCGTTTGATTGTTTTTTGTCTTTGACGTTTGCTAGCACTTGTCATAGTGTGTCGTAGTGTTGTGATTGGTTTATGTGCGACACGTATGTTTTATGGTCGTAAAGATACGCGAGATAGTCTCAGACGTACCGTTGAAATAAGGTATCGTTGCTGCTGTTGTTGTGTTGCTCGCTTCGTTGGGTTCATTGGAATCATTGTGTTTGTAAGTGTTGCGTTTGATGAAGTCAAAGAAACTATAGTCCTTACTCACACTATGCCACACTGCAGTAACCCACTCACCCTCTGTATCACTATGTAGTCCCCTACTCACTCTATGTCGAACTTTAGTCCCCACTCACTCTATGTCACACTGTCGCCCCCATTCACTCTATGTCACACTGAAGTGTCCCACTCACCCTATGTGACCATCTGTAGTCCCCCACTCTCCCTTTGTCATACTGTAACCCCCCACTCACACTATGGCATACTGTAATCTCCTACTCAAACTATGTGTCACACTGTCGTCCCCCACTTATCCTATGTGTAACTCTGTAGTCCTCCACTCACTCTATATGTCACACTGTACTTTCCCACTCACCCTATGCCACTAAAGCGGAACTTGAGATTTTTGTGAACTTTGCAAATGCATGATTGAAGATGCATGAACGACAGTCTACGACGCAGAATAAATTGCTTTTCAAAATATAGAAAATTTCCCTAACATTGCAAAGGTCATTCGACAAACTGAAGATTGTCAACGTTATCAATAAAACCTAAGCACTAGCTGCACTAAGTATCATTGAATGAATTCTGTTGAAAAGGTCAAAGTGAGTTTAGTCTTATAAATTAAAGCACGACGTACTGATCGACACAAACTATTGTAACAACAAATACAATAAATAATATAGATGCGAAAATAATAAACTAGAGCAGAATCAGCCAGAAAAATGGTAACGGTTTCCACACAGAATTTCCCTCATTATTGTTATTTTTCCTAATTTGAATAAACTTTCCTTTTCTTTTAAAAGCTCTCACTTCGATGTATTTACCTCGTTTTTGCTTTTTTACTTTCGTCAATTGACAATGTAGACTTCCAGCCACATTTAATATTAGCTAATAAATACACTTTACAAGTCGCTACACACATCAATTTTCATGTCTTCAAACACACACAAACGTTACAGAAACGATGAAATAACGGGACTAAATAGTGGACTATAAATATCATCTACTCTTTGTAAAACCTTATTGCAGATCTAGGATAATTTTGTAGGAATGGTGCTCTAGCTTTTATAAGATCTTATTCGATCTGTTTAATTTCACGTTTGTCAAAAATGATTGCTAAATCACAAAAATACAGTACGCGCGTTCAGCGGTATTCTCAAGAAAATAGTCATTTAGTGTCATGTAAATTGTTGTAAAGTAACTCTTGAATATTTGCCGGTAAACTACCATTAAATCAACAACATAGCAGAAGCATTAAGTTTATTTTGGGTTTTGTTCGTATTTTAAAATTCCCTTTATTTTTCTCTCATTATCGATTTCTACTCTTTCCAATGTAATTTGCAAAATTTTCTTGCAAAGGTAAAAATCTGATTTATAGAAAATGCTGTAAATCGTTGCTGTAATTATATTAATATATATTAATATGATTGGTTGAAATTTGAAAAGAAATAAAGCATTTTATTTAAATGGAGTGATCATACAAGCACAGCTAATTTTATTAATGTTTTTGCTTTTGACAGAGACGCAATAGATTTATACACAAGCTCTACGAGTACAAATCATCAAAACGCGATGCCTTATAATAAATTACTGCTCGCTCTATTTCAATTTTTGACGAACAAAGCCCGAGATACTGCAGCAGACAGGCTAGAAAACGGTGACGTTGGTAATGAAGGATTTCGCGAATTTATTATACGAGATTTACACGACATCAAAACAAAGCTAAATAATCTTTCGAAAATAGACCTTTCTTCCAGTTTGAACTACTTGGAGGAAGGATTTCTTCTATTTTTTAAATGCATTGACAAAGTAGAAAGTGATAAAGAATGTGTAGAAGCAAGTAATAATGATGAGTCTCAGGCAGCTTGTACTGCCATCACCACCAGTGCAATACAACATTCAAAGGATTTTGAAATGGCAAAAAAACTATTTGAAAAATCCCGTGATAAAGCAACGGATGTTTTCAACAACAAAAATTTAAGCTTGGAGGACAGAATATTTGCCATTTTTGTTAAGATCATGGCACAAATTTTTGAATGCCCGGAGCGTCAAGAGATTGTCATTGATTTATGTTTATCTTATATAAAAAGGCTGCATGAATTGGACGGTGTTCGTCAAATGTTCTCTGTTTCTATCGGTGGTGGCATGAGAGCGATGTTCAAAAAATCCCAAAGAATGGAAAACATGAAATCTGTCATTCTTCTCAACCATCATTTATATCAGTTCATTGCAAGGATCAACAACAATCATGATCATTTATCAACTTGGCCAAGTATTGAACTTGGAGACGGAAAAATGTTTAATCCAATACAGGACTGGCGCAAGGAATTCGCTGTCGAGTCTTGGTATAAAATCTTGATTGAATCTTCCCAAGAAATGGAAAAAATGAAAACCATGATGTTTGAACTTTTGGACAAGATGACTATAAATGAAAATTTTTCTCCAACATTGACATCACCTGTTGAATTAGTTATGGATTTATTAATAAATGATATTTTGGTTGCTGGAGGCAACAGAAAGAGTGTTGAAATTTTTTCATGGAAGGAGGAGAAATGGTTTAAAATTGCATCAATGGAAAATAACCACAGGTGTGCTTCATCATTTATTTGTAATGACAATTTATTTGTTGTTGGAGGAAGGGACTGCAAGTCAATGGAAACATTGAATATAAAACAATTAACTTTGACAAGGAGGACATTTCACACAGAGCTTCCTTATGTATTTCGGGGTCATCAAACTGTTGTTTGTAAGGAACAAATCCTTCACATTGGAGGACGCATTGAAGAACTCATTGCAGTACTCAATGAGAGCGAAGGAACATCAGATTTGATCAGTGAAATAAAGATTACTGGTGCAACATCTTATGTTTTTAAAGAGTTGTGTCATATGCCTGAACCACGTTATGGCCATGGAGCTGTTGTTGATGATGATAAAGTACTTATTTTTGGGGGAATGGGAAAAGATAACCAAGTTTTGTCAAGTGTTTTGGAGTTTCATCCAAGGACTCTTACATTTAAAGAAATGCCTCCATTACCTCATCCATTGTATGGAATGGCAACAGTTCAATGGAGAGATCAAGTTGTTCTTCTTGGAGGTAAAGATGATGGAAGAGAAAAGTTGAACAGTGTTATCATGTATGGCAGCAATACAGGTAAGATTACAGTCTTACCATCCATGTTGGAAAAGAGAAGTTGGTGTTGTGCAGTTATAACTGGTGAAACAATTGTTGTCATGGGAGGTGTGGAAAATTCATGGAAAGATCTTAAATCAGTGGAGTGTTTCGAAATGGGAAGCAGTTCTTCATGGACACATCTTCCTTCAATGAACGAATCACGAGATGGAGCTATTGCTGAAGTTTTGCCTTTTGGACAAAAGTATGTCTAAGACACGAAATTTCATTAAGTTATGTAACGTTATAACTCATCAATGTTCGTTTGGACTACATTGGATGATAAATTTGTAAAATTTAAAATGTATTGTTCAAAAGTTCATATAATCATTAACTATTTTGATAAATTTCTATAATAGGTGAATGGCTTTTGTATCTAAGTAAGTCTTAGTTTTTAGAGGATAGTTTATACCTTTTTCTTTTCCTTGTTTCATTGCAGTTTATTGACCAATAAAATACAAGTTTTCCATAGTAAAAATTACTTTACTTAAAATATTTTTCGTAGTCGCAAAATACTTTATTTCCCAGTTTACCATCCCCCACATTTACAAAAATCTACTAATTATCTTACACATTTGAAATGTTGTGAAGACAATCAGTTTGTAATTAACTTCTCATTCGCGAACACAATCACTTTCTGCATCACTGAAGTAATAATATTTAAGCCTGGTTCACACGAGTAAAATAAGCAGAAACGTGGAGACTTTTGTTTCTATTGCTCTAGAGGTTTATAAAGACAAACACATTGGGATTTTATTTAAATCTTTTTTGTTCTTATTTTGTTCTTCTCTTAGCTTATGCTTGAATTTTTTAATGAGATTTCACCGCCATTTTAAAAGAAAGCAAATAAAAAAGTGGATTTTACCCTGTATCCTACCACGTTTGGTAATCTTCAATAAATGTAGGTTCATTTGAGAAATAGCAGTTGAGTGAGATTTCCAATCTTTTTAGTGGATAAAACTTTTAAGATCAAATTTTCATATCTTATGCACTGCTTGTGCTTCTTCAACCATTACGTCTAGTCATGCATTTTTTATGCCATGCTTTCAGTCGGAAGATGAGTAGAAATTTCCCAATAAATGGTAAATGTTCTATTTGGAGATGAGATAAATATTATTTCACAAACAATTTGCAATATTATGTTTTATTCGTTCATTTTCACGCTTTTATTCGGTGGTTCGTTATCGTAATACCGCAAAATCTCAAGATTTGTCTTGTAACATAGCAACTGCCTTTTCTCGCACATTCAATGCACACTCACGTGATTTCTCCAAGTATTCCGCCTATCTTCAGAGGACGGAATCCCAGAATAGATACATACAGAAGGGCCACTTCGCGAAAAATGCGGTCCTAAATTTTAATGCACATGCGCCACTTCCACCATGTTGGCAGCAAGATAAACTTGCTACACTAAATAAGGGTAGCAATGTACAACTCAAAAATCTTGGCGTTATTACTTGAAAAGTTGAAATATTTATCTTGAGCCGACCAAATGAAAGCTGTGCTGAAATGGGAACATACAATCAGTTGCGTAGCTAGGAAAAATAGTCACTACCGCCAATCCATCTCGCGCCGGAGGCGCGACCGCACTAGGGGGGTCCGGGGGCATGCTCCCCCGGAAAATTTTGAAATCCAGAGCCTTGGAAACAGCATTTCCTGCGATTTCGAGGGCGAATTATTTGTTGTACAATAATTTATAAAAACCCATTTTTGTTAGCTGCATTCTTAATGTGGCAATCGTTGAAACTGGAACTAGTTAAAAAGGTACTAAAGGTGGCTCAGAGAAACGTTACGCAGGAGACAATTGTCCCCTAAAACATAATTTACTCATCACTGCCTCTGCATAAACAAAAGAAATTTGTATTAGCACAAAAAATAATATAGTATACGACACTTCTAAAGTGCATAGAGAGAGATTTTTCTTAGCATTCTACTTGTTAGTTTAAACTTGTTTAGATTGGGGCAAGTAGACAGGGATGGCTTTATTCTTTAAAGTTATGCTTAATTTTCTCAATGAAGTACCATGTATTATACGAAAAATATCAAAACACATACTATACTCATCATTTATAAAGAAAGGCCAGCCTCCTGGTTTTTCTACAAATTTTTCAACCACCTCGTTATGCAACACCTCTGATTCCTCTTTCTTTTCAATGATATCCTTGTGAATAGATATTCTACACAAAGAGCTAAGCCGACCTTGACCCATTCTATTTCTTAAATAGCTTTTACCCTTTTAAGCAAGAAAACGACCTCTCTACTGAAGCACTTGCCACTGCCAACACACCATTCAATTTTAACAAATTTACCACTTGACCTAAACTCGACTGGAGATTAAATTTGAAGATGTATTTAAGAACCTCATTACTGCACTCTTTGTGAAAGTCCTTGTCGTTGTAAATGAAGGAAAGTTGACTCTCCAAAGTTTGGATGTCAAAAGAGGACTATACTTATCTTTGAGAAGATTGATCTCTCCTGTGGAACTATGCCCTTCCATGTAGTAAATAGTTTAGGATTTACAAGGTCTAAAAACTCGAACTAATTAATATCTTGAAATCGTTCACTTAACATGCCTTTAATGGAATCAATAATCTAAAATAAAGCTGTTTGTAATTGTATCTACTATCTGCTCTGGTTGCTGGTGGGCCTACTTTTCTAGTGCAGTTTGGTAAAACTCGGTGAAAGCTTGATCTGTGCGAAGTGACACAATAAACTGCTTGAAATTGTCAATCTTGCTTATGCCATAGTTAAAATGGGTTTCCTATTTTGAAGAATGGAATACAAAATTGTGGACTGTTCTAAAATCCTGTAAAACACACACTAGAAAACAAAAGAGAAAGCTATCAAGATAATGCAGTAAGTCACTTATTTTACTTAATGACTCATCATCCCACCCAGCTGGTTGTTCAAGTACCCTCAAAAATATCTAAAAGTTTTCATAGTTTTTGTGCAATACATTGATTAATCTAGAGCGATAATACCATCTTGTTTCACCAGGGGCAGGAAACTCAAGGTTGTTAGATGTGAGAAAAGCTTTTCTTTTTGGGGCATTGCTTGTAAATGTGCTGAATGTAGCTATATTAATAAAAAAGATTTTAACAGGAGAAATTGATGAGGCTGACTGGCATAGGACCAGGTTCAATCTATGAGCTGCACAATGAACAAAATGAGCAAAAGGATACTCTTGTCGAACCAATCTTTGAACACCATTGATATGGCCAGACATGACAGAAGCACCATCATATGTTTGTAAAACCAGTTTTTCTTTTATATTAGAATACTCACCAAGTTTATCTTTGACAACTTGTGATATTGCTGTGGCATTTCTGTTCATACTTACATCCACAAATCCTAATTGCCTCTCCATAATTTCACTTGCTTTGTCAAACTGAGCAATAACACTTAGCTGCTCTTTGGTGGAGACATCAGATGCTTCATCAACCTGAATACTCATAAATGTGCAATCATTTATTTCCTTTCTGATTTCATCTTCAATAATTGAATCAAGACAGCTGATAAGACCATTTTGAATTTCTGGGAGACTCCAGTAAATCTTCTGTCACCAACTATTTCAGATTCTGCTAGTCTACTGTGCAGTCGACGCTCAAATACAGAATCAAACTTAGCAAAACATTCGAGCAACTCTCTATAATTACCTTTGTTCAAGCTACCTTCGGACTCATTGTGATCTCTAAATGCAACTCTTGCTTTGACAAATACAGCACGGCCTCAGTAACAGTTTTTAAAATTTCTCGATTTTGTCTTACCTCCTCATTGTGACGCTGAATCTCATTTCTTCTAGCGAGGGACATAAGACAATCAATTCGTTCACTAGCTCCATACGTTTTCCATGTCTTAAATGCAGTCAAATGCGATTTAGATTTTTCATGCTTCTTAGCATCAGACATAATACTCCGCATATCGTTGTAGCCATTCTTAGTCCACGATGGCGATGTTTTTGGGGAAAACATTAGACATGGCCAACAAAACACTTTCTGCAAGGTTGTACTGCCACACAGCCAGTCCTTCGCCTCATACCAATCTCTCTGAAATGCTCTTCCCTTATTTTGGATAGTTAAATCAGGAGTAGGCCGCTCATGAACGATAACATTCTGTTCGACCGACGATCGAGCAGAGAACGGTTTAGCTAATAAGCTATGTACTAAATCAACATCAGTTGAGCAAATCGCAGTCGCACTTGAAGCCATTGTGTCATACACAAATACAAAATAGCAATTTGAGAGTAAACACATTGGAAAATTAATACCGACAATGACACGTAATTTGATAATCACTAATCGCTGTACTCGTATTAAAAGTCGAATAATTACAACCTCCGCCAATTTAATATGGCGGGAGTTCGACTATAAAAATAGCAGATTTGAGCATGCGTCAAGTCCCTTAGCCAACCAGAATTCAAAACTTCTTATATAGAATTATATTGTATGTTCCGCCCTCTGAAGATGGGCGGAATACGTGGAGAATCGCGCGAGTATGCAATGTGCGAGAAAAGGCGGTTGCTAGGTTACATAACAAATCTTGAGATTTTGTTGTATTACGATTACGAACCACCTAATAAAAGCGTCAATATGAACGAATAAAACATAATGTTACAAATTGTTCGTGAAATAATGTATATCTTATGTCCAAATAGAATATTTATTATTTTTTTGGGAAATTTCTACTCCCGCCGGGCGTGAGTAGCGGGACCGCTAGCTACGCCACTGCATACAATCAACATATTTTTATGCTTTTTCATGTACAACCGATGTGTACAATTCTATCGAGACCAGGGGCGGATCTAGAGTATGTCAAATCCGTCGCGCGACTGATGTTTGAAACTCAAACATTACCTATTCATATCAATTAAAAATTCATTAATTATTCTTACCTTATTATCGCATTTACTTCGTGATAAAAATCCAGCTTTATTTATTATTGAAAACTAATGACTAATCCAATGAATATCTCGTTGGTAACCAGATCAGTTGAATTTTAATTGACCTGGAATAACCGACTGATAAGCGGGGTGGCTTGACTGGTTCGACGGATAAAGGAGTCTATGAACGTCAAAAACGCTTATTTTATTGGTCAATAGCCAGATCAGTGGACAGTCTGGAATGGTCTCGACTGATAATAAGGGTGGCCGGACGTATAAGGGAGTCCAATTGCTATCTTACAATTTGTTCATTTGAATTTTTGCTTTATTGTGATTGGTTTGACGGATTTCGACTGATAGCCAACTGAATTACATAGTCAAGCTCACTGTCTGAATTGAATGTTTGATCGTTTTATAGTAATTTTTATAAGCATGATAGAAACTAAACTACAATCAGATGGAATTTATGGAAATCTTTTACAAATTCATATATTGACATGAATGCTGCTGTCCAAAATGTGAATTTTTTCAAGAGGGTGGAAATTTATGGATAAATTTTAAATGCTTGGCAAAGACGATCTCGCGAGCGACATTTCAGTCATTGATGTTCAAAAGAAAGCCAACATTGTTTTGAGTTTTATCAGAAGAAATTTACATCCAAAATCGTAAGTAAAGGACAAGTGAAGTGTATGCATGAATGTAATATATCAAAGTCAATTATGCGAGTGTGTGATGCGATTTATGTCAACATGGCGTATGGTAAGCAGATCGATGCTTCTAAAATTGTTGTTGACGAAGGACTTTTATCGATGATTTCTTTAGTGCTTAGGGATTCGTGGCCGTTATACGGCAGCGAAATCCTACATTCCTGCAAATATATTTCAATGGACAAAAAATCTGTAGCCATAAGGCGCCATACTATTATTTTTATCATCATAAACAAATGTTTAGGGTTTTTCAGTTTATGATCATTGATCATTCAATCATTGGACAGTTATACTACATATTGTTTAAGATTTGAGAAAACTAACATTGTTTACACGAGAAGCTGTTTACTATAACCTGTGATTTTGAGTCTTCTGATCCATGAAGCTTTTTATTTTGACAATTTGACTGAAATGGTATTAAACCTGAGTATTTCACATGCATGAAATATTGTCCCATGTCACATATTGTCCCCTTTTCTAACTGAACACCTCATGTAGAGATGTAAAGGTGTGTTAATCTACGGCTCATACCAGATTGTTTGCCATAAATTCCAAAGGGCTATTGATGTATGAAAAGCATTTTCTATAAAGTGAAAAGGTCTTCCTATGTATGCAGATAAACCTTGAAATTTGGCAAAACAGCTAAGTATTTTTCATGATCACTAGGTAATTTTTCTGATGATCATTATAATTTCTAAACTAAATTATTTCAGATTTACATTTAAACGAGCTTTGATCATATGAAAAGATATTTATCATAACCAGTAAGCATGACACATGAACCAATTTTAACATTCATGTAATTATATAATTAAAGACATGTTGGTTACATTCTGTTTTTATTTGATAATACAATGCTACTAGTGATTGCTATATAGCACACCTTGAAGAAGATAATAGTCAAGTGAAATGCCTAATAAACATATATGGCATTAAGCTGTCCTTAACTGCAAATTTTCACTCTGATAATTTTTGCTTGTTCTTTGGCAGAAAAAAATTTTGAGTTTTTTCTCAAAAGGTTAATTTGCTAATACTGATGTGGAGATGGGTAAAGGGTTACAATAAACTTGCATGTTTTGATGTCTGAGCTTTTCTATATCGATGAACTGTCACTTGTAGTACCAAATTTCTAACTTAACTCTATGCCTGACAACTTGGTAGAAATTTTTAAAGGCTATATCTGTTTTTGAATATAGCATTATTGTAAAATAAATTTTCCGTTCCTAGACATGCTAATGAGCCATATATTTGGCATAATAATGAGCCTAAACATTTGGCAAAACATTCAAGTATTGTTCACTTCATTTTTTTTTTTGAAAAAAACGTAACCAAAATGTGTTGTATTTACGCAAAAACGATGCCCACAAAATACATTTTGTAATGCTCTAAAACGCTGAAAATGGCCTTTTTAAGGCTCTGAAATTCAAAATTTCTCAGGAGAGATAGCCTCAGGCCCCCCCAGGTGCGGAGCGCCTCCGACGTTTTATGACTGATGTTTGAAAAATCTTAGATCCGCCCCTGATGTTTGGTATGTTCTTCTCCCATTCTCCCTACGCACGCCTTCGCATTTAGGCCAATATGCATACAAACGAATTAGTGAAGAAAATAACGTTAAATCCAACGAATACTTTAAAATTTGAATGATGTGCTATGGAAGTTTGAACATTTAAGATTCTGTCGTGGTCTTTTCTAGAATACAGCTTTAGTAAAAGTGACTAATTAATATCTCACATAGTGAATTAAATTGAACCTATTGCGCATTCTTAGACGCAGCATGAACATTCAAATTTTTGGTGATAGTTTTAATTATTTTACAGTCAATGACTGACAAAGCCATTTTAAGGTTTTTGTATATCGTTTGGAAATCTTCGCACCGTATGATTTTGTTACTAAAAAACCGATGACCATCTATCCTAGTTCCGCCCCTGATCGAGACCTATATGAGAAATGCTGTGCCGTGGCCGTGTGGTCAAGGTTACTCGTATTTATTTATTTGTAAAGAACGGGAGCGGAAAAGCGCTTAACGAACGTCTTTAAATCAGAAACAAGATGGAACAATGTGAATTATATCAACGGTTGGGCTACACTAAAAAAGATATTTCGTATGACATTGGATTTGGTGCTTTAGAATTCAGACAAATTTAGTCATATCCCGAACATTCGATGAATGTTCATTGAGAAATTGCAAACTTGTGCAATTGTATTTAATGCCAATGCCATATTGTGTTGGGAAAATTCTTATATTGTATGATTGTAGCTAACTTCCAGATGTTCTTAACTATCTGTTCCTTATATTTGTCATGTTTTAGATAATTTAAAGTATTGATTCCGTTGTAAGGAAATAAAAATGTCCTCTTGCTTCTATTAATATATATATATTGTTATTTTCGTTACATCGCTGTCGCTGCATTAATTTTCAGATTAATTTTCAAGTTAAATATGCTACACAAATATTCAACCACACCATTGCTGCATCAGTTTGCACATATTCATCAATTGGAGCACTACCACCATCAGCCTTGGGTACAGCTGAGTTGCTTTTCAAATTTGATTCACTTTTCGATTGCGTCAATAGTTCCACACTGAAATCAGCAAAAGAACAAAGTAGTGCAATAAGCAACAGCAATAATCACATTGCTTTTCTCAAACAAGCACTGTCCTTTATCCAGGGAATCAAAGTGGTAAAAGATAGTAAAAACATCACAAGCAGAATCAAATCACTGAAGGGATGGCTTATATCTATAAAGGCCATTATCTGTCTCTGGACTAATCTTCATGCCTCACATAATTTTGCATTCTTGCTTACCAGAAGATTAAACACAGATGCTCTAGAGAATTTTTTTGGAACAATACGCCAGCAAAGAGGTAATTCTGACAATCCCACGCCAATACAATTTATCAGAGCTTTTCGAAAGGTTTTTTTTAGTTCACTTTTGACCTCTTCCAAAGGAAACTGTTCTAAAGATATGGACACTCTGCTAATAAAATTTTCAAAAAAAAAGCCCAAACCATTTAGTATGTCACTTACCCATGCAAAAGCTCCAAGTAACTCACTGTTGATTGGTGAAAATGACTACCGAGAACAAAATATTAGCAACAATTTATTGCTCAAAAATGCTGCTGCCTATGTTTCAGGATATTTGCTAAGCAAAGCTTTCAAAATCCACAGCTGTCTCCAATGTAAGAACGTTTTGACTTCAAATAACATAAACAATGATATCAATTTGCTTTGCTATTTCAAGGCATATGAAGAACTCAACTTTGGTGGGCTGACTGCTCCTTCATCGTGCTATTTAAATTACATTATGCAACTTGAAGACACCTTCGTGGATTGCTTCTCAGTCACAACCAAAAATCTGAATGTTGGAAAGAGCATCTTGAAGAGTCTTAACATGATACCAGTGCCATTCCGTACATGTTCACAGTTTCCACTGCAATATTTGGTCAAACTTTTTTAACAATGCGAATTTATTACGGCAACAAATTTGCAAATCGCGAGTTTTCCTCTTCTAATAAAAGATCGCGAAAGTACATTAAAGTCAAGCATTTGTAACATTCTACAAACTTACTACAAGGAAAATTCCATAGACAAAGTTGATGATCCTTTTCATTGTAACTCGCAATACAAGCATAACCATGATTGAATGTTGGCAAGTTGGCAAAAGCATCAGACCACAATCCAGACTGGAAAGTATGTCTTGCGCAACCTAGATCTAGCTTGCGCAATTTCGGGAGAAATGCGTGTCCTAACGCGCAGATTTTAAAAAATTTCTTGTTCGCCGCGCATTTGTGAAATTTGCCGCGCAGCGCGATAAATTATTGCGCAATATCAGCACATGTGCGCTGCAGCGCTGTTGTTCCGTTGAAAAATTGTTGCCTGTTGAATGTCAATCTACAAGCTGTTTTGACAAAGTTCCGTTAATTGGTTGGTAAGCCAATAAGCGTTTGATGACTAGAAATATGATATTTGAGCAGATTAACTACATTCTTTGCTTTCGTTTTCGAGCTTTAACTGACTTCAAGGCAAACCATATCGATTCTTCGGTGTATTCTACGGTGATACGTGATATTTAATTAAACCAACTTGGGGTGTTCAAATTTGTAAGGTGAGTACACGTAATGGTTTAGTAAAATAAAAAGTACTGATACAAAATTACAAATGATAAAAATTCTGAAAGCATGAACGCTTCTAACACTAAACGCCCGGGGAAACAAGTTATTATTTAACAGTTATGTTTTTTGTGTAACCTAAAAGTTGTGGTACGAAAGGATTTCTTGTATTACAAACTACAAAGCATGTTTTAATACATTTAAGGCAAATAAAATTCACAATCCTTACATAACAAATTGTGTGTTCCACAATAACAAATTTTGACTCTAAAACGTGTATTCTAACGATGCGATTCGACCTAAGTTGTCAAAATTACCTTCTTTGACATTGCTCGTGATGGCATACACAAAACAAAAATGGAATAGCCATATAATTGTGGAGGACGCGCCGAACTGTTTCTCATTACTATATTTTCTATTACGAACTTGCTGGAGTTATCTTGCTGCCAACATGGCGGCGATGCCTGATTGCGGGCTAAAAGTTGACAACAAAATCTTAAAAGGTTCAGACGAGAGTGGCCCTTCTGGTTGTATCTATTCTGTGACGGAACCATTGAGTTCTATAATAACTGGAGCGGCTATCTCTCAAAAGTTGATTCAAGTTTGTTTTTGCGTTTGAATTTCGTATCAGAGTAATCATGTAGACGCATTTACATGAATTTTGAAAATTTTTGGCCAGAAGAATCATCGCAAAGGTAAGAAATAAGAATAAGCCATTATATTTCAGATATATTTGTAAAACATGTAGTTTATGGTAACATTTCATCAACATTTTCAAACTATTCATAGCATGTCTGAGATTGAATTAGTGGCAAGCACAATCGTGCCGAATCAATTAAATTTTCCAGTTCATTTTACCTTGAATTAAAGTATTTATCATTCACACATTACTATATTTTGAAGCACTCATTTTAATTTCACAATTTGCACTGATACCATAACAATGATTTTGTTGCATGTCAAATAATATTGATAATAATTTTATCTGCATCTAAAATGTGTTGACAAGGTCAGGGGCGGATCTAGGATTTTTCAAACATCAGTCATAAAACGTCGAAGGCGCTCCGCACCTGGGGGGGTCTGAGGCATTCTCCCTAGAGAAATTTTGAATTTCAGAGCCTTGAAAATGCTTTTTTTAGCGTTTTAGAGCAATACAAAATATATTTGTGGGCATCGTTTTTGCGTAAAAACAAAACATTTTGCTTACGCTTTTTTCAAAAAAAAAAAATGAAGTGAACAATACTTGAATGTTTTGCCAAATATTTAGGCTCATTATCATGCCAAATATATGGCTCATTAGCATGTCTAGGAACGTAAAATTTATTTTACAATAATGCTATGTTCAAAAACAGATATAGTCTTTAAAAATTTCTACCAAGTTGTCAGGCATAGACCCCCCTAGAGACCCCCATTCAAACCTCTATGTAATGAGTTTAGTTAAGTTAGAAATTTGGTACTACAAGGGACAGTTCATAGATATAGAAAAGCTCAGACTTCAAACCATTCAAGTTTATTGTAACCCTTTACCCATCTCCACATCAGTGCCAGCAAATTCACATTTTGAGAAAAAACTCAAAATTTATCAGAGTGAAAATTTGCAGTTTAGGACAGCTTAATACCATATATGTTTATTAGGCATTTCACTTGACTATTATCTCCTGTAAGTATATGCAAGGTGTGCTATATAGCAATCACTAGTAGCATTGTATTTGCAAATACAAACAGAATGTAACCAACATGTCTTTAATTATATAATTACATGAATGTTAAAATTGGTTCATTTGTCATGCTTACTGGTTATGATAAATATCTTTTCATATGATCAAAGCTTGTTTAAATGTAAATCAGAAATAATTTAGTTTAGAAATTATAATGATCATCAGAAAAATTACCTAGTGATCATGAAAATACTTTAGCTGTTTTGCCAAATTTCAAGGTTTATCTGCATACATAGAAAGACATTTTTACTTTATAGAAAATGCTTTTCATACATCAATAGCCCTTTGGAATTTATGGCAAACAATCTGGTATGAGCCGTAGATTAACACACCTTTACATCTCTACATGAGGTGTTCAGTTAGAAAAGGGGACAATATGTGACATGGGACAACATTCCACTTATGTGAAATACTCAGGTTTAATACCATTCCAGTCAAATTGTCAAAATAAAAAGCTTCATGGATCAGAAGACTCAAAATCACAGGTTATAGTAAACAGCTTCTCATGTAATCAATGTTAGTTTTCTCAAATCTTAAACAATATGTAGTATAACCGTCCAATGATTAAATGATCAATGTACATAAACTGAAAAACCCCAAACATTTGTTTATGATAAAGTAAAAAATAGTATGGCGCCTTATGGCTACAGATTTTTTGTACATTGAAATATATTTGCAGGAATGTAGGATTTCGCTGCCGTACAACGGCCACGATTCCCCAAGCACTAAAGAAATCATAGCTAAAAGTCCTTCGTCAACAACAATTTTAGAAGCATCGATCTGCTTACCATACTGACATAAATCGCATCACACACTCGTATAATTGACTTTGATATATTACATTCATGCATACACTTCACTTGTCCTTTACTTACGAATTTGGATGTAAATTTCTGCTGATAAAACTCAAAACAATGTTGGCTTTCTTTTGAACATCAATGACTGAAATGTCGCTCGCGAGATTGTCTTTGCCAAGCATTTAAAATTTATCCATAAATTTCCACCCTCTTGAAAAATTCACATTTTGGACAGCAGCATTCATGTCAATATATGAATTTGTAAAGATTTCATAAACTCCATCTGATTGTAGTTTAGTTTCTATCATGCTTATAAAATTACTATAAAACGATCAAACATTCAATTCAGACAGTGAGCTTGACTATGTTAGTTCAGTTGGCTATCAGTCGAAATCCGTCAAACCAATCACAATAAAGCAAAATTCAAATGAACCAATTGTAAGATAGCAATTGGACTCCCTTATACGTCCGGCCACCCTTATTATCAGTCGAGACCATTCCAGACTGTCCACTGATCTGGCTATTGACTAATAAAATAAGCGTTTTTGACGTTCATAGACTCCTTTATCCGTCGAACCAGTCAAGCCACCGCTTATCAGTCGGTTATTCCAGGTCAATTAAAATTCAACTGATCTGGTTACCAACGAGATATTCATTGGATTAGTCATTAGTTTTCAATAATAAATAAAGCTGGATTTTTATCACGAAGTAAATGCGATAAGAAAATAAGAATAATTAATGAATTTTTAATTAATATGAATAGGTAATTTTTGAATTTCAAACATCAGTCGCGCGACGGATTTGACATACTCTAGATCCGCTCCTGGACAAGGTTATGACAAAGTCAACATTAAGGCAACTTGCATGAAAAAATTGACCCCATTGATCACAACCCAGCCAGTCTTCATTGTCATCCTCTCTGCATATTTTGCAAACAGCCACATTTCGCTTCCTAAGATATTCATAATGAATTCCATATAAAAACATTCAACCAAATGTTATTTATGCCTTACGGTGTGATATCATCATAGCAAGACCCAAGTAATGTTGAAAGGATTCGTTTTCTCTCAGTCTCCATGTTTGTTGGTTTTTGGTCCAAGTCAAGGGCTAGACATCGAGCAAACTGATGCGAAATGAGCAGTTATTGAACAATCATGTTTGTAAAAATAGCTATTCAAGTAAAGTTAGGCTATTTTAAGCTTACCAAGCATATGTACACTCCACAGTTATACATATCTTCCTGTTTACGATGGAGTGGCTCAAAACATTGCCATGAGCTTGAGTTCCAACCTGTTTTTACATCTACCTAAGCACTAAAGCAGTGACAAACAATGACCACATGAATGATAATATTGATTGTTGAAAATGATTTTTGGTCAAATCTTTTAAGATCAAGTTTGATAATAACCTTAGTTTGTTTATATGATACATCATTTGTGTATTAGGTGTGTTTTTGTCCGCACTTCCTCCAAGTGAGTCAAAGTGGAGTTTTGTTTTTGAGGACTTATCTATAGCCTATATTACACAAAATTACTGTTGCATTTAGTTAAAAATTTTCTCTTTGTTAATTAAGGAATTATATGAGTT